TCGCGCACAATCGCGCCAATGATGGAGCGCGACACAATGAAGAAGTCATGGGAGACTTCGATTCCAATCCAACACTACTAATCGATCGGAATCCCATCCAGCCGCCACTTCCTGAAGGAAGAAGCTATGAGATTTCGCCGGAGATTATTGGTTTGGTGAAACAAAACCAGTTCCAAGGGAAACCCCAAGAGAATCCTTTGGAACATATTGATGCTTTTGAAGAAATTTGTGGCACCATCAGTGCAGGAGGTGCGCCCAAAGAGTACTTAAAGTGCAAACTATTCTCTTTCACTTTGACAGGGAAGGCTTTGCGCTGGGTTAAGTCTCTTCCAGCTCAATCCATAACCACATGGAAAGAGTACAAGGTGGCATTCCTAGGTCACTTTTTCACAAAGCAGAGAGCAAACTTGTTGAGAGAAAAGATCTCTAGTTTCCAACAAGGGCCGGTGGAGCCTTTTCATGAAGCATTGGAGCGCTTCAAGGACTATACAAGAGAGTGTCCTAACCATGGGCTATCTGAGGGCAGTCTATGGAACATTTTCTACAGAGGAATAAGTGGGAAGTGTAGATTTTCTCTTGATACAGCCAGCAATGGAAATTTCATGACCAAGACAGTTACTGAAGCAAAGATTTTGATTGAAAATCTAGCCTCAAGCGACAGTGACAACTTCATTGGGCATGAGAGAGCAGTGAAGGCCATAAATTCTGATCCATACAGAGATGGATACAGCGAAATCAAAGCCATGATGGCTGAGATACTGAGAAACCAAGGAAGAGAAGTGGAGAGACAAAGAGAAGCTTATAGAGTTGAATCCACAATAATTCAAGATTACTTTGGAGATTTGATTCCAAGTTTCCAAGAAGAAGTAAACTTTGTTGGAATAGATGGATCAGCACATAGAGAAGAAGCTTGGAAAGGGAGAGCATGATGTTTTTACTCAAGAATCACCCAATGAGAAGAGGGATGTTCATGGAGGAAGAAATTATCAGCAACCACCTCACAAGAGAAGAATGGAGCCAAGGAGCAATTTTGAAGATTTGATAACTTTCATCAAGAGTTCTCATAGAGAGCACACAGCCTTGATTGATGAGAGATTGGAGTCAGCCTTCACTAGATTGAATGAGAAGTTGGATTCTATTTCTTCTTTCACAAGAGACTTGGATCTTAGAGTTGCCAACATAGCCAGCTCTATTAAGAGAGAAGAAGGTGTGCTACCAGGAAAAGTGGAAATCAATCCAAGGAGAGCAGCTGTAGCAGCTATCACTCTTAGGAATGGAAAAGGGTATGAGCCACCAGCATACCCAGATCAAGAGGAAGCAAAGCCGCCAGTCAAGAAGAAACCAATGGAGTATGTCATTATTGGAGATGGACTGAACCACCTAAGGAAGTCCATGTCAGAATAGAACCAGGAACTCAGGAGGAAGTGGAGAAGCCACCTGAAGAACCAAGAGTGTATGAGCCAAAGATCCCATACAGAAATGTTCTTTCTCAACCCAAGAAGGAGAAGGAGCAAGCAAAGCTCAAGGATCTTGTTAGCCAACTTTCAGTAAGGTTACCTTTCATTGATGCTTGCCAAATAATTCCATCTCTCAGGAAGTATATGAAGGCCATACTCACAAGCAATGTGAGTCTTGAAGAAGGAGCAATGATGATTACAAAGGAGTGTAGTGCCATACTTCAGAATCGCATGCCAGAGAAGCTGAACGACCCGGAGTTTTGTTTTGTCTTGCAAGATCGGTTCTACACACTTCCATAGAGCACTTTGTGATTTGGGTTCTAGTGTGAACCTAATGCCTTACTCAGTGGCCAAGCTATTGGGCATCACTGACTTCAAACCTACAAAGATCTCTCTAGTCTTTGCAGACAGATCTGTTCGCCGCCCTGTTGGTGTTATTATGGATGTTCCAATCATGGTTGGAGATTGCTACATCCCTGCTGATTTTGTAGTTCTTGAGCTGGAACACCAACCTAAAGACCCTCTTATCTTGGGAAGGCCATTCCTAGCTACTGCAGGAGCTATAATAGATGTCAAGAATGGAAAGATTGACTTGCATCTTGGAGATATAGTGATGAATTTCGAAGTAAACAAGTCTATGGAGAAGCCAACTGTAGATGGTCAAGCTTTTTGGATTGGAGAGCTCGCAGAGACAAGAGAAGAAGTGCTGGATGAACTCCTTCTTATTGATCCCTTGGAGCTAGCTTTGACAAAGCTGAGAATGAGTATGGATACATGGAAAGAGAAGCTCAATGCTTAGTCAAGTTCATGGATTCAAAGGAAGCTTATAAAGAGCTGATAGCTTATATGGACTTAGAGAGAGAAGAGGAAGAGCCAGACATTGACAAGAATCAGGAAATATCACAAACCAAAGTTAAGTTCGACCCATGGTGCCCACTTAGAGCTCCAAAAGCCGAGCTCAAACAACTCCCAGTTGGTCTAAGGTATGAATATCTTGGTCCTAATGAAACATATCCTGTTATTGTTAATGCTGCACTAACAAAAGAAGAGACCGCTTTACTTGTTCGCGAACTGAGAAAGCATAGAAAGGCTCTTGGTTATTCTTTGGATGATTTAACAGGAATCTCACCTGAACTATGCACACATCGCATCATCCTGGAGGATGAGTCTAGTTCTTCAATTGAACACCAAAGGAGGCTAAACCCAAACCTAAAGGAAGTTGTCAAGAAGGAGATAATGAAGCTATTGAAAGCTGGAGTGATTTATCCAATATCAGATAGTGCATGGGTCAGCCCTGTACATGTCGTGCCAAAGAAAGGAGGGATCACAGTCATCAAGAATGAACATGATGAGCTCATTCCAACAAGAACAATCACTGGACACAGAATGTGTGTCGACTACAGGAAAGCTGAACTCCTCCACACGCAAGGACCACTACCCCTTGCCATTCATAGATCAGATGCTTGAGCGCCTTGCCAATCATCAATACTACTGTTTCTTGGATGGATACTCAGGATTTTTCCAAATTCCAATCCACCCAGATGATCAGGAGAAGACTACATTCACTTGTCCCTATGGCACATATGCTTATAGGAGAATGCCTTTTGGATTGTGCAATGCTCCAGCTACATTCCAAAGGTGTATGATGTCCATATTCACAGATCTCATAGAAGAGATTATGGAGGTTTTCATGGATGATTTCTCAGTATATGGTTCTTCCTTTGAATCATGTTTGGGGAATCTTGGAAGAGTGCTACAGAGATGTGAAGACAAGCACCTAGTTCTAAATTGGGAGAAGTGCCACTTTATGGTTAGAGATGGAATAGTGCTTGGACATAGAATCTCAGAAAGAGGCATAGAAGTTGACAAGGCCAAGATTGAAGTAATGACAAACCTTCAGCCGCCCAAGACAGTAAAGATATCAGAAGCTTCTAGGACATGCTGGGTTCTACCAGAATTCTAATGCATGTTGTGAATAAACCCGGATGTGTGAGAAATTATGTTTGTGCTGGTGGCATTAGTCTAAAAGGATTACCTCTCGGCAGACATCTCGGTCTAAGTTTCCTCTATACACTTCTTTTCCTTGTCTACCATAGACAAGTAAGCCCTGTAATCAAACAGAAAGTTACTGAGATACATTATGATACTGAGAGTAGACATATACATTGAGATAGGTGTATCTCATCTCACTGGTTAAGGAAAATAGGAAGACCTGAACGAATACGCCTGGAGAGGACTCTGAAACAATGCCATAGGGTCCAGCTAGATCAGCCATTTTCAAGATTCTAATCGCACCTGGACGGGACTGTGATATATAGAAGTTAGCAATAGCCATCTCCAATACATTCTAAAGAAGAAGAAGTAACAGAAAAGACGGCATGACATAGTTAGATGGATACTGTTCTGTTCTCTTCTCACCTTCCCAGTAGCTATCACGACTTTAAGTCCCCTCAGCGTAGCTTCTTTTAAAGCTTTCGCATTAGCTTCCGAGACCAGACTTTTACTGTTAAGCAGTGTGCCTAGCGTTCGGCATTAAAGTCATATTAGAAAGAGAAGAAAACCGAAAGCAACAAGTACAGATTGTTTAAACAGGTACCTTACCATCCATATCACAGAATATGTAGGAGAACTTTGGTCTGTAGAATCTTAGGCCATCTCCTTTCTTCCTGTCTTTTAACAGTAGTCTTAGCAAGAACAAGCAAACAGCATATTTATAGTAACCCCCATGAAGAGAAGGAACTGTAAATGATAGTTACAATTGCTAACATGTAAATAGAGGAAATTTACCATCTGGTATCTCCGGCTGAGGTTTAGCTATTGTTTCAATGTCATGCGCACTTTGAATAAGCCCTTTCCCTTTCCACCCAAGGCTCTTTAGCAACAACTCCTCTTCCTCCTCCATTTCTTTCTCAGCTTCATCGCTGATCTCATGATCAAATCCCAGTAGGTGTAACAGCCCATGAATCTTTGGAAAAGAAAAAGAACATTATAGTATCATTAATACAAGGCTGAAACGAAAATCATATGAAACCATTGCCCTTCTTATATCAAATAAAGATTATTGAAACACAGTACTCACTTCTTCCATTGTTTAATGGAGTCACAAAGATCAAGAACTATACTTCAAGCAAAAGAAAACTAAAGCTAACCAAACAAACTCTTATTAGTTTCAATTTACACAACCCACCTAAAAGGATCCACATTTTCCTTCTATGTTCATCAGTAAGTAGACATCTAATTAACGTACCACAAGAATGCGTATCTCATCAAGAAGAGTGTGACCCCTCTCTGCAGCCTGCCTCGCAGCTGTCTCAACAGATATGACAATATCTCCCATCATAAGCTACAAAGAACAATGCACCTTTACGAGTTTAGCCATTTGAAACCATACAATTTAAACCCCAAACGAATCAAAAATGACAACTCTTACTACTGGAAGCTTCAATTCAGGAACATGCTGTGACATGGAAAGCACATCTGTAGCATGATCTTCGCCTCTCCACTCTTTGTTGAGTTTACATATAAACTCATCATTGCATAGCATCACCGATAACTCGACCGTTTCATACCCACCAACATCTTCTATATCAGTTTCTCTTGTTTTACACTTTGAATCTTTCAATCCATCCAATGCCAGCTTCATCGCCATAGGTACATTGAGACGAAGCATTTCCGCAATATTCTACAAAATCAAACGAAAACGAAAAGAGTAAACTTCATAATTTGATCCAAAACAACACAAACTAGAATAGCTAATTGAACCAATAAGAGCTTATGATTCCTCCATGGTAAGTCTTAAGCTGAATCCAAATTCGATTATCAAAAGAAGAAGAAAAACCTGAATCTCAAGATCATCAGGAAGCTGCTCCTCGATACAGATACTGACGCTAAGCTCCAATTCCTGTTTCTTCTTCGGCATTCTCTTCCTCATCTTACGATATTCTCTCCTCTCCGCAAACACACGACCCGCCGGCTTCGGAAGCTTCCACTCTCCACCTACTCCGGTGCTTCGCAGTGCGTGGAATCCCCGGCAAAACATCGAAGAAACATTGAGACGATTCGTTGTGGTCACAAGAGCAGTTCTCGGAGAAGTCCGTAAGAAATGAGGCTGGAGGAGACGGGCATGGTGGAAGAGAGCGGCGCGTGGCATTTCACGCGCTTCTGCTGAGCAGCAGAGACGGTTGTGGCGGAGGATTGAGCAGAGACGAGAGAGCATGAAGGCTCGAGAGATGCGTGAGGCGAGGGAAGAAGGGAGGCGTCTCTGCTCTGGCTTAGGTGTGGAGTGGAGATTACAAATCAAATCGAACCGATAATTATTCGAAATACAACCGAATCGAGTTTATATCATGAACCAAACCGTAATAAATAGTTTTGTACCGAACAAACCAAATCTAATGTATTCTCCACGCAGTGCGATTGTCTTCCATGGGCCTGGCCCACAAATTTGGAGATCAGCTTTGTCCAAATTCATTTGAAATGGGCCTTGTGAGCCGAGCAAAGTGCTTTGGCCCTCTCCTCAATTCCCGCTCAAGCTTCATCGAGCTTATGCGTTTGTGTAGCGGTCAGGTCAGACACAGTCTCAACTTTCTTACTGTGCTGGATCATCTACCGGGTCATTGTCAGACTTTACCATCTTTTGGTCAATAATATTACCAACTTACTGGGAGTCGAACCCGGGTCTATTGCTTCAAAGGTATTTCTAACAGTTGGATTACATATAGGACAAAACTTTAGAATGACATTTTTTGTGAAACGGAAGAAGTAATAAATATGGAGCATCGACCCTTGGGTCTATTGGTTCAAAGGCATTCCCAACCCTTGGATTACACATATGCGACAAAACTTTGGAATGACAATTTTTGTGAAACGGAGGAAATAATAAATATGGAACATTGTTGATAAACGTGACAAGCTTCCCGACAAAGTTTTAAAATAACACTTTTTGTGAAACGGAAGAAGTAATAAATATGAAGGATGATGAACTTGACAAGCTTTCTTTGACATGCGTACGTTACATTGTATTTTTCTTTTATATTTCTAGTTTGAAGTTTGAACATTAAAAATTATATAGATAATAATACAATTCACAATTATATTTTTTTGAGGTCATGCTATTTCTCGTTTTATAAGAGACTTATTTTATCAAATATAAAAAAAACTTTGAAAAATCTATTTCTAAGACATGAATTAGTTGTTTTTCAAGTTTGATATTTGAAATTTTTGATATCATTATTGATTTAAATAGGTAACTCATTAAAAGTCTATGTAATAACTAAGAACCTTTAATAATTTTAGTAGTATTAAGCAAGTAATTTTTTTTGGATTTTTAACTTAAACTTTAAACATCATTTCACATCCTGTAAAATCCAAAATCAAAATTTAAATTATTTTTTAATGAAAAGTCACAAGGAATATTTCGGAAAATTACAAATCAACGTGTAGTACATGAAATGTTTTGTTTTAAAAAAAGGACTTTTGATTATTTATTGATATTTTTTTTTCACCTAATATATATCTTCACGAATTTCACGTCTCTCCTTCTCCCTCGTGTCCTCTTTGCTTTCTCCATCTCTCCCTCCTTTGAACCAGTCAAATCGATTTATAACCTCCTCGTCCAATCCTTCTTTGACTTCTCTTTGAAACTTGTAGTCGCTTTCCCTTTTATCCATCGATTTAGGGTTTTCGATTTCGTTTCCGAGCTTTCCTCGCCTTTTCTCACCTTTTCCCTTCTGCAATATGACTCTATTTCCTAATAGATTACGGAATTATCATGATCCGAGTGTTTGATCAGATCTCCAATCGCGTTAAACAGATACAATAATCTTGGGAGGGAGATATATATATAGTTTTTTTTTTTGCTGTTGTGCTTGGATCGTTTAGGGCTTTCTGGTCTTATACTATGGTTGCTACTCAACGATCGGACGATGAAGCTGCCACTAAGAGCTATGGGATCACGAAGCCTCTCTCTGTTGCTGGTCCTTCGAAGGCTGATCTTAAGCGTAATTTAGAGCTGGAAAAGGTAATTTTTCTGTTCTGTTTTTCCGATGGAAATTTGCTTCGCCGAGCAACGTTTTTGCTGATTTTTTTTTTGTTTTTTTTTCGTCTCATCTGAAGTTTCTGGTTGATGAGGGGCTCTATGAGAGCGAGGATGAAACTATGCGGAGAGAGGAAGTTCTGGGACGCATTGATCAGGTGAATAAGCGTGTTTGGCTGGTTTTTCAATTGGCTTAAGTTTCCTTATACTAGCATTGTTTTTGCATATTTGTTTATGTTTGTGAAATCCGAGCTCAATTGTTTAGTTCTTCTGTTTTAAGCTCTGAACGTCTTCATCTTCTTTGTATAGATTGTAAAACACTGGGTGAAACAGTTAACTCGTCAGAGGGGATATACAGATCAGATGGTGGAGGATGCAAACGCTGTCATATTCACTTTTGGATCTTATCGCCTTGGAGTAAGTGCTTTAAGTTTAAAAGTTTAAGTTCAGCTCATTTTAATCTGTTTGGCTAAAGGTTGAGGTTTACTTGGATTATACAATCTCTGTTGAGCCTTGTGAATAACTCTACTTGACTCTAGATAAATAGCACTGTATTTGAGGTGTGAAAATGCTTGATTTTTGTTGACTTTGCAGGTACACGGGCCTGGGGCTGATATAGATACTTTGTGTGTTGGTCCATCCTATGTTAACCGAGAGGTAACTCTTGAATCACGTCTTGCTGATATAAAAGTCTGGTGTGCTGTTCAGTTGCTAACGGGGTATTTTTTACAGGAGGATTTCTTCACCATCTTGCGTGATATATTGGCTGAGATGGAAGAAGTGACAGAGATTCAACCTGTTACTGATGCCCATGTGCCAGTCATGAAGTTTAAGTTCCAAGGAATATCGATTGATCTTCTGTATGCTAGCATATCACTTCTAGTTGTGCCACAGGTAGTATCACTATAGCTATCTTCGATTTCTGTTGAAACTTAGGGGTAGTTATCTTCGATTTAGTTTGGTGGTTCTGGTGCTTGTATTGCATGTTGGTGGTCACGTATAGTGTCCTATCATTCCTCCTAGGGCTGAGATATCAGAGAGACTTATTTTTAGAAATTGTTGGTCTTAGTGAACTCGGAGATGTGTGATTATTGTTTTTAGCACCCTCAGGCTTCGTTTATATGTGTACTAAGTTGAATTGTCGCCAAAGTTCACATTCTCTTGCTGAGTCAGATCCCTTGTTTTTCTGAATTGAAAATTTAACAGGATCTGGATATCTCCAACACTTCTGTGCTGTGTGATGTGGATGAACAAACTGTCCGCAGTCTTAATGGCTGTAGGGTTGCTGATCAAATTCTTAAACTCGTTCCCAATTCCGAGGTAAAATTTTGTTGTTGTTAATAAACCAATGAATCCTGTTAAGCCATATCTGACGTTACGTGCAAATGTAGCACTTCCGGACAACTTTAAGATGCCTGAAGTACTGGGCTAAGAAGCGTGGTGTCTATTCAAATGTAAGTTGGTGTCTTTCTGAATATTACACATTTTGACATTACATTTACATTAAAGCTCTTGTCATCTCTATTATTTTGAGCAGGTTACTGGATTTCTTGGTGGTGTAAATTGGGCACTTCTGGTTGCACGCCTGTGCCAGCTTTATCCGAATGCTATTCCTAGTATGTTGGTCTCTCGATTTTTTAGAGTATATACACAATGGCGCTGGCCGAATCCAGTCATGCTTTGTGCTATAGAAGAGGATGAGCTTGGAATTCCCGTCTGGGATCCACGAAAAAATCCCCGTGACCGCTTTCATCTTATGCCAATAATAACTCCTGCATACCCGTGCATGAATTCTAGTTACAATGTCTCTCAAAGCACACTCCGTGTTATGACAGAGCAATTCCAGTTCGGTAACAAAATCTGTCAGGTTAGGGAGCTAAACACCCGATTTTGTTTGTGAACAGTTTACCCAGGATTCTGTTGCTGAGTATCATTTGGTATGCAGGAGATTGAGTTAAACAAACAACACTGGAGATCCTTATTTGAGCAATATATGTTCTTCGAGGCGTATAAAAACTACCTTCAGGTTGATGTACTAGCCGTAGATGCAGAAGATTTACTGGCTTGGAAGGGTTGGGTGGAGTCACGGTTCAGGCAGCTTACCTTGAAGGTATATAGCATTATTTCATTTGATGTTCTCCAATTTGTTAGTGGTAGGCAAACTGTTACTGAAGGGCACGTGTTCTCCTCTTTTTTATCCAACAATGCAGATAGAACGAGACACAAATGGGATGTTAATGTGCCATCCGCAACCAAATGAGTATGTGGACACTTCCAAGCAGTTTCTGCATTGTGCCTTTTTCATGGGCTTGCAGAGGGCAGAAGGAGTTGGTGGCCAAGAATGTCAACAGTTTGATATACGTGGAACAGTGGATGAGTTCAGGCACGAGGTAAACATGTATATGTTTTGGAGGCCTGGGATGGATGTGTTTGTTTCTCATGTTCGTAGACGGCAGCTTCCACTGTTTGTTTTCCCAAATGGATACAAAAGGCCTCGGCCATCCAGGAACCAGAATCAACAATGCGGAGAACCTGGTGAGCCTGTTGGTTCTTTGTCCGCCAATGGTGAGAGACATGCAAAGAGAAAGAACGACAATGAAATGATGGATACCAGGCCAGAGAAACCTGAGAAGCGTGCATCTCTTAGTCCACATATTCTAGCTGGAGTTTCTCCTGACAGTAGTGCTATAACTTGTGGTGGGACTCCTCCGATTGGCATTGTGTCAGGTCCTAGAGCCGAATGCTTAGTAGATGGTCATCTTGTTTACAATGACAAAACTCTTCCAAATGCAGAAGTCGAGGCGGAAAAAAATTTCAGGAAAATCTCAGAACCCAGGAAATTTTCTCAGTATGAGCATATCTCTGGTAACGAGCAAATCCTGGAAGTAGACAGTAGGGCTCTGGTTCAAGGTTGTCATGGACTAGCTGAGTCTGTAGGAAAGGATGTGAGACCTGATCCTAGTGTTGTGGTAGCATGTGAAGGTGGGCAGAATGAAGATATAGGTCGTGATATGGGCTCTGAATCCATCAATGACGCTGACACGCAACATCTTCCAAGCCAACTAAATCTGAAAGAGGATGTTTATGAAGTTGAGAGGGAATCCAGGTCGGGAGAAATCACTGATGACGTTTTGCGGGATGGATACTGTGGGCGGAATCTTGATCATGAGGTGAGTTTTTCTTATTCGATGATTATGGTATATGAAAAGTAACAAATTGGCAAAAAAAATATGTCTTGAACTTACTGGGCATAGTGATCATGGCTTGTTACAGGGTTTTTTGACTGCTGCAAATGTGGATTCAGCTGTGGAACCTAAAAACATGCATTCAGATGTATTGTTCAAAAGTGGTTTGTCAGAAGAACTTCAGGTTTTTTATTCTAATTCATGTCCTTTTGCTTACTGTTTATTCGTCAGTTGGATTTTAGTTTCCGTGATGCCCAATGATTATATTTATAGTTGAAGGGTGATCTTATGAGCACAACCTAGCCTACCTTTTGCTGCGTAAGCGAACAGTTTATGAGCTTAAGCTAGAATGTTGTGCTAGTATATACCTATAGAATAGCTACTTTTTGCTATTAAAGTTATTGATTCATGCTCTTTTTATTTTTCTGAGAACGGCTCTGTGTGAAGCAATAATATGTTATGTCTTGTTTCTGCATACATCCTAACTTAGTGCATATATATCATTGCCAGGTGCGGCACTGCCATGTTTGATTGTATAGATCCGCTTGAAAACTGTTGCCTGTTTGTTGTTTCTTATGAGACTACACAGTTTTTTGCTTCCTTTAGATCACTTGTGACTTGTCTCTTTGTTTGTGACTTTTTGTGTGTCTTAGTCAAATCATTTGCTCAGCGGTATGGGGAGGCCAGAAGAGGGAGCTAGGTCAGAATCTATGCAGAATACACTGATGAGTATGTGTTTTTGCGACCCATTACTAATTTATACTAATCATAATCTCTTTATGCTTTTTTTTTGGTGTTTTCTTGGTACTTTTTGTAGCAGCAGCAGGTTGAGCTTGAAGTCGATAGTGTGAGAAAGGTCTCAGCAATTGCAACGAGAACCTAGAGAAAGGAAAAAAAGATGAAAAACACAAAAATAAATAAGAAGAATCAGAGCAACTCAGTGTTCGCTTTGGATGACAGCTTCCAGAACTCGACTCTTTAGGTAAGTAAACCTAAATATGAAAACGAAAAGGTATGAAAAAAGAAAAAAAAAAAAAAAAATAAAAAATCAAAAAAAAAAAAAAAGATAAAAGAAAAAAACATAACTTTCAAATGATTTTGTTTGTTGGAAACATCTTGGTGGGATTGTGACTATCCAACCTCTGGGAAGAGATGCAAAAGCCGAGCATTGTTCGAGACTGCTCCAGGAAGTTAAAATGAGGCAGAGAGTTTGTGCTGGTTCAACGATTTTGCCTGAGAGTTGCTAATTTCAGTGAAGAGAGAATCAGTAAAGTCACCATTTGAAGAAGGCAAGTGAAGTATATATATGTCTGCCTTTCTCCGAGTATTTCAGACTTTTGTTTTTGTATTTTATATGCTTTAAGATTTGGGATCTTTCAACTTTAATATTGTTCTGTGTATAAAAATATCTCCTGCTTTCTTTTTACTGCTTGCGTCTTTCATAAAGAGCCATTCCTAGTCACCAAATGTCCTTTCTCTGGTTTTTCGACTATGAATGACTTTGTGTGCACCAGTCAGTTTGTCCCTTTGCCACTGTTACTATAAAGAGATTAGAGTGTTCAAAGCAAGCCTACACTTTAAATACATTAGCATCAGTGATAGTGATAGTCTATTGTACACCAATTGGAACCAAAATTGAATTGTTCTCGCAAGTGACTAACGAGATCTTACTTTTATGAAGATTCTGAAACAAATCGCAGTTGTATTTGTTATTTCCTTTTCAAAAGTGGTGAACTTGAGACATGGCAGTTATTGCAAAAAAGATTGTACAATATCCGACTCTGCTAGTGAAATAACTCAAGAATCAAGAATGATTTGGCAAATGTAAAACTCTTCTACTCATTTCTTTTAGCTGGCACTATTCCTCGGATAGAATCCCATAGCTTGTTTCAAATTATGAACTGTGGCATCAGCTATCTCCGTGGCTCTGTCTGCACCTTCTGATAGTACTTTGTCCAAGTACCCTGTTTCCGCTGTTATCTCCTGGTAACGGACCTGCACAACAAAACAAATAACTTATCATACACCTCACACAAATGATATGATATGAAAGGTATTGGATTGGTTAAAAAGTTTTTGACTTCACAGACCTGGATTGGACTTAGATGCTCGATCAGAGCATCTGCGAGGAGAGGTTTAAATGTACCCCAGCTCATATCTTTGCATTCCTCCGACACTTCCTGAAAACCGATTCAAAATTATGTTCACCGGATTATAGACTGTATCTTAAGTGGTTGTTATGGCCAAGGGTGTCAAAGACGTTTGAAAGCATCATACCTCTTTAGTCTTTCCTGAAACAATCTGATATACGGAGAGGAGATTGTTGCATTCGGGTCTCTCAGCATTGTCGAATTCAAGGCTGTTGCAATAGCAAGAAGCAGAAACTTTCAAATGTAAATATCTCAGTTTTTAAAGCCAAAACAGTAACAAGAAAAAAGAAAAACATGTGCACTGCATGGAGCTCTCACCCTGCAAATGAGTCTGTCTTGCACCGTTTTATCTTGTCCGCAATCAGCTAAACAAATTTTCGAAAAGGATTTAGTTTAAGTAGCAGTAGAGCTTATATTGGATGAAACTGGATGTCACAGCTTTCATAGAAATGGTGACAGGAGTATCATATTTGTGCTCAAATGAGAAAAAAAAAATGCTATTTCAAAAGCCTTACAAGCAACGGTGAGTTGATTTTACTTACATCTTTTGAGTCGAGGAGATTGATCCGAGACTGATCAGATGGTGCAGACTTGGACATCTACAAGATTACATGACCGTAAGATCTCGGCAAAAAGTAGGAAAATTTTATTTGAATCAACTGACAACAGCAATAAGCAAGCTCAAAAAATGGATTGGTCCAAAGGATCTTCTGAAGTCAACGGTGAAGGAAAACATTCTACCTTGGAAAGACCATCAGTAAGTGACATAACTCGAGCTCCAGCTTGTGGTATGAGTGGTTCTGGTATCTACAAACATCAATAAATTCCAAAAAAAACGAGTAACCATATGTGATAAACCCTACAAAGCCACTCAATTGAGTATAAGCTAAGCATTTGGAAAATCTCACCTTAAAGATGGAACCACCGCGCCTGAAAAATGAAAATCGCCATTGTTATACAGATGACGAGGGGATATAAATGAAGGTAAATTAGAAACATGAAAAGCATAGATCATATTATCATAAGCACACTTGTTTGAACACTATACTAAATTCCCAAAGCAAAATTCTATTACCCTCCAAGCTTCTTCCACTTCCTTCCACCGTATATATTATTCACACGCTGTGCCAAGTCACGGGCAAGTTCTAGGTGCTGCTTCTGGTCCTCACCAACAGGAACACAATCCGCCTGCAGAGACATTGTTGCAGAGTATAAGAACCATTGCAATTCAGCAAAATGTTCCTTCTTCATTACACTAGTTTCAAATCACACTTGACTCTTCTAAAGCATCACCTGATACAAGAGGATATCAGCAGACATCAGAACTGGATAAGTTAACAAAGCGACCGCAGCATTCTCACCTCCCTGCAAAAAAAGAGAGACTAAGATGGAATCAGTAAACAGAATCGTATACAATCACATAATAGGCGCAAATAATTTCACAAAAGTTGATTATGCTGTTTGTATGCCCAATACATTAAAAGATTACATATGTTCTCTCACTAGCAACACTAAGACAAAATTAAAAAACCCTCAAAAGATGTAATGCCTTAACATCCATGTCCAGCGCATTTGAAGCACATATACAACAAGGAGATTATACAAAAATATACGTACCTCCTTGCGTGATTTCTCTTTGAACTGAGTCATTTTCTGTAGCCAACCAATAGGTGTGGATGAACTTAAGAGCCACATTAAGTCCACATGAGCGCGGACGTGAGATTGCACAAATACCGAAGCCTACATTATCGTTCTTTCATCAGTTACTGCAGATCACATGTGACTGCTTTAACATAAAGAGTTGATCGAAAACGAAACCTTAGAAACGTCTACACCACATGCTAGATAAAGTGCAGCAGTATCCCTAGTTGCCTTTCTTAGTTCTTTTGTGTCATATGGTAGTGTTATCTACAAAGACCAAGACTGATAAGTCTAAATAAAATGAGAGAAACAGAGAAATATTTACACAAACCAACTTTTGAAATGTAGATAATTCATACCGCATGAAGGTCTACGATGAAAAAGAGTGTTTCATATGTATCCTGCAAACATATAAAACACAAAACGCCTGAGAAAACATATTAGATAAACTTAGTAGCAACCAGTAAAGATAAACCCTTTTCTCAAAGCCTTGACATTTACAACAAAACCATCTAAATTGAATCACAAATGGCTTAATAGCACCCACATATTAACAAAGAACACTGAATATCGATAAAAGTAGATACATTTATGAATCATGGAAGTCATTAGCGTAACATTAAGATCAGTTTAATGGGAAAGATAAAGAACCTGAAGAGCGACCCAATTTTTGATTGCACCAAGATAGTTTCCTAAGTGAATTGATCCTGTAGGCTGGACTCCGGACACTACACGTTTCCTTCTACCAGAGGAATAAACTCAAAGGAATCAAAAGAGGGAGAAAAAATCAAAATTCTACAGAGAATGCAGACAAAAGACTAACAATTTTACCTTGCAGAAGGTGAAGTTTCGTCGGTGGTCGCCGAGGAGCAACAGCATCGGAAACTTTCTCCGGTGAGCCGAACAGGAAAAGGGTTTGTATTTCTGAGGAATTTACTGGCATAACCGAGACGAGAGAACCTGAAGAAGCAGAATCAAATGGGAATCAAATGTGCATTTGAAGTAGAGAGAGAGAGAGAGAAGAGAGTACCTAGAGGAAGAGAGGATGACGGAGTGAGAGAGAGTCGCGTGCGCCATTCTTGTCTTCTCTGAGCTTCGGATTGGGTTTATGAATTTAAAGGGTTTTGACTTTTGGGTGATGATAACACAATTGCAACCTCTCCAAGTAAAATCGAGTTTAAACGGATAAAGTTTGGGACTTCATAACATAAGCCTTGAAAAAAATGTTACTTTGAGAGCTTTTGATTTTGGAATCCGATACCATCTTAAAGCCATTACTGTGGACTACTTCATTTCCCTCTCTTCTCAATCCATTTAGATATCATCAAGACGACTATGGCGTCACATTGCTCTATGAGAGGAGCTGTGGGAGTAATCCTCCTCAGATTCTCCAATGGTGTCTCATCTAGATCAATCCTCAACTCCAGAAACCATCGTCTTCCTCTTCTCACCATGAGAAACTCTCTCTCCTCACTCTCCTCAATCTCGCCTCACACTGCTACTTCGCATTTCACGCCGTCACATTCAGATGAACGAAACTGCAGCAAGCGTCAAGTCAGAAAGATTTGGATTTCTTCTCCTCTTTGTATGGGTCGTCGCTCTTCCAAAATCGCTGGCCGAAAGGTTCGTTTTTTCTCTCTACCTCTCTTCAAAGTTCCAGTTTTTGAATGATTAGAAGTAATCTAGTGGCTTTGGAGGATTTTAGAGTTTGTAATTACTGATGCCTACCATCTGTTTGATGAAATGTCTCTTAGGAAGAGTATAATCATCATGTCAAGCTTGAAAAATCTTACAAATACAGATGAACACAACACTAAAAACCTCCTTTTTGAGACAAATATTGTATTTAAGACTTTGAGCTTGAAGGTTATGGTGTATACAGGGGGCTCAAGATTCAAAGAAGGCGAAGCTATACTGTAGAATTGGCAAGGAGGTTGTGTCTGCGTAAGTCTTCTAACCTTTTTTTTTCTTGTTGCATCTTCTGTGTTGTTGGATTCAGATTCTTGTGTGGGTTTATGACAAAGAGTATCATGTGTGTGGGTTTTATCATCATCATCCAGTGTCAGGAAAGGGGGTCCAAACCCAGTTTCAAATACAGTTTTAGCTACCATCCTTGAGAAAGCAAAGGATCTAGATGTACCAAAGGACATTGTGGAGCGTAATATTAAAAGGGCTTCTGAGAAAGGGCAAGAAGATTTTATAGAGAAGATTTATGAGGTTAAGTCACAATCTTCAATTCTAGTTTTATATTTGCAAGTGTGCTGAAACATCCTAGTAAGCTAGGGAAATAAGCTGGTAATCTAAAACCTACGAATTGGTATTTGATCATCACTAAACCTAATCAAATATGTGGTCACTGAATTTGACTCAACTTCACTAATTCAATGTAAAAATTTGTTTTGCAGTACCAAATTTTACACTCCCTTCCTGCTACTTCTTTTGTGTCCAACTCTGAAATAACTTGCTTTTTCTTTTATGTTCTTAGGTATATGGCTATGGTGGAGTTAGTATGGTAGTGGAGGTCTTAACAGACAAAATTAACCGATCAGTGGCAGCTGTTAGATCGGTTGTTAAGGATTACGGTGGGAAAATGGCTGATTCAGGATCTGTCATGTTCAAGTTTAGACGAGTTAGGGTAGTGAATATAAAGGTCGCCGATGCTGACAAAGATCAGCTCCTTAATATTGCTTTAGATGCTGGAGCAGAGGATGTTATTGATCCTCCAACTTATGAAGATGATACTGATGAAGATATGGCTGAAAGGTATACACAATAATATGTCCAAGTCTCTCTAGATGATCCACAAGTATGCTTTTTGTTTCATTTGTTTCTTGTCTCTATATTTGTTCAGGTACTACAAAATTGTAACTTCTTCTGAGAACTACTCAACGGTATTGTCAAAGCTACGTGATGAAGGAGTGAACTTCGAGCCTGACAATGGCTCTGAATTGCTCCCTCTGGCTACAGTTGAGGTAGTGAATCTTTACTCTCTTCTGTATCCGCGTGTCTAATACCGATAAACTTATGGATTCTATTCTTGTTTTCGTCAACTAGAGCCTCGTAGCTTTCCTCTTGACACGTTAAAGACATTGTAGACTGCATATGTTACATAAGCAAAATTGGAAGTGGCACTAAGCTCATAATAATATGGTTCTTGGTGACTCTGCTTACTAATAATATAGCTCAAATAGATAAACAAACTTACATGGCGAGATTTGATGGTGTTGTTATTTCTTTCATCAATCATTCACTGGGAAGATGTGATCACTTGGGTTTGTTGCAGGTGGATGATGAGGCCATGGAATTAAACAAAGAGCTTATGCAGAAACTACTAGAGCTTGATGATGTTGATGCTGTTTATATCGACCAAAAATGAAAGATACATTACATGAAGCTTCACTTGAAGGTCTCTGAATTTGAAGCTCATCAGAAAAGTTATCAGATCCATCTCTAAACTGATTTTTGTTGAAGTCTGCATATATATATTGAAGAAAGGATGATGGTTCCGGTCTGTTATTACACACTTACGTTTTTGATACTATCAAATCAAAACTATTTCATTAGAATTCTTGATAAATTGTTTCTTAACCACACACTTCTAAACAATTCATATATAATCATCATCACAGAGCAATACATGAGAAACTGTTGAATATATCATAAGATGATTTTTTGGGAAATCATAAAATATTTCTAGATTGATGAACACGTAATATATGTTGAGAACAAAAAAAAAAGGAAATATGGGTAATTAGCCTTACTAGATCAACTTCTCTATTTGTATATTTTCCTTTTGAACTCTATGTTGTACACCTATATATATATGGATCTATCATTCATGCATGGACCTATTTCTTCTTTCACTTTCTCTTTTCTCTCCCAACACATTGTAGATTTTTTGTTTGCTAAGATGGCTAGGGTTTCGTGATGTTGTGAAAAAAACTTGTGACGGTAAGAAAAAAAAACAATTCAATCGTCTCGATTTATTAACAACAACAAGTGTCTCTTTAATTTTTGCCATGGAGACAGAGGAGAAACAAAACCCTAATTCTCATGAGCTTATCATACGAGACACACGCAACGCCTGGTCCGAGCTGCCTGCAGATCTGTTGGTTACTGTTTTCGAACGCCTCGGCTATGCTAATTTCCAACGAGCCAAATCCATTTGTTCTTCTTGGCACTCCGCTTCCAGACAATGTGTGCCCAAAAAGAAGATCCATTGGCTGATTCTCAACAGCAAGGATTCTTGCATGTTGTTCAATCCCGAGGAAAAAGACAAACTTTACCAAACGCAAGATCTTGACTTATCAAAAGGAGATTGGATTGCAACCTATGGAGGAAGTTGGTTCCTTATGAGCGATGATCTCTGCACTAATCTCTACATTGTGAATATCTTTACACACGAGATCATCAATCTACCTCCCGTGGAGTCACAGCTTGGAATGAGAAAGATGAAGCGAGACGAATATAATGGCTTTACCATACTATCTCCTGTGTTTTGGGTTGACGAGAAAACCAAAGATTATATTGTTCTATGGAGGCTTGAATACAGCTGTGTTGTTTATTCCAAGAAAGGAGATATGTTTTGGAATCCAATCCCAAAAACTTCAGATTGTTATGACGTGGTTTACAAGAATCACAAGCTTTACTTGTTAGGCAGATATGGCGTTGTCCGTATCTTTAGTTTAGCTGGAGAGACTCCACAAGAAAGCTTTCTATGTCGTGTTCCTACTCCAAATAATGAACCATTTGACCAACGTCTAGAAGTTCGCCACTGGAGAAACCCATGGACTCGTTATAGGACAAAACTTGTAGTCACAGTAACAGGACAAGTCCTCAAGGTTGTCCAATTGTACAAATATTTGTCGAGAGTCTGGTCTTTCCGGGTTTACAAGGTTTGTTCATCAGGTTTCTCGAAGAAGAAAAAACAGATCAAGTCTTTGGGAGACGAGACAATGCTTTTTGAACAAGGCATCACTGTGCTTGCCAATGACGTCGAGGGATTCATTAGCAATGCCATCTATTTCAGTTATGGTGATGAAGACACAACCGGAATCCTTGTCTTTGATCTCAACACGCGGAAGGTGGAGCCTTTGCACAAATATGATTGGTCTTCTGGTCAATTCTTTGGCGGTCAATGGTTCTTACCAAGTTTCACGCATTCATCATGATGCATGTTCACTCAACAATGTTTTTTTATTCGATCAATATGATGTTAATTTCTTTTAAAAAAACTATGTATTGTTTTACTCTAATTAATTAGGATTGCGCGATTAATGTATTTTTTACTCTAATTTTATTTCCTCAGAGTTTGTTTCCATTTTCCAATATTAAAAAGTCAAAAACAAAATTGACTTAAAAAATGAATTAATTCATTTGTGAAAATTGGTTTTGAAGTACCAAATTTACAGTCCTGATTCAGGATCTGTCATGTTCAAGTTTAGACGAGTAAGGGTAGTGAATATAAAAGTCGCCGATGCTGACAAAGACCAGCTCCTTAATATTGCTTTAGATGCTGGAGCAGAGGATGTTATTGATCCTCCAACTTATGAAGATGATACCGATGAAGATATGGCAGAAAGGTATACACAATAATATGTCCAAGTCTCTCTAGATGATCCACAAGTATGCTTTTTTGTTTTGTTTCATCTGTTTCTTGTCTCTATATTTGTTCAGGTACTACAAAGTTGTAACATCTTCTGAGAACTACTCAACGGTATTGTCAAAGCTACGTGATCAAGGAGTGAACTTCGAGCCTGACAATGGCTCTGAACTGCTCCCTCTGTCTACAGTTGAGGTTGATGAGAGTCGATCGCTTAACCGGAGTAAACCAACATTATGGTAAAGAAGATATTTGGGCGTTACCATTCTCCTAAATTAATGGAATTGTCTACCCACTAATGACGTGTGATAGTTATGGAGATTAGTAGTTACTTTGTCTCTTTCCGTCTATATATTCGACACCATTGTATTTGTACGAGATAGGAAGAAAATATTGAAGTTACTTGTGTCTTGAGAACCAAAGTGTTCTTGTTCTTGTTGTTCTTGATCATCGTTGGTTTGTCCTAATTTGGGACCTAACAGAGGTAGTGAATCTTTACTCTCTTCTGTAACCTCTTTGCCATATACCGATGAACTTATGGATTCTATTCTTGTTTTCGTCAACTAGAGCCTCAGTAGTTTTCCTCTTGACACGTTAAAGACATTGTAGATTGCATATGTTACATAAGCAAAATTGGAAGTGGCACTAAGCTCGTACCCAATGTTACCTATGGTTCTTGGTGACTCTGCTTACTAGTAATATAGTTCACATAGATAAACAAACTTACATGGCGAGATTTGATTGTGTTGTTATATCTTTCATTAATCATTCACTGGGAAAATGTGATCACTTGGGTTTGTTTTGGGTTGTTTGTTGCAGGTGGATGATGAGGCCATGGAATTAAACAAAGAGCTTATGCAGAAACTACTAGAACTTGATGATGTTGATGCTGTTTATATCGACCAAAAATGAAAGATACTTACATGAAGCTTCACTTGAAGATCTCTGAATTTGAAGCTCATCAGAAAAGTTATCAGATCCATCTCTAAACTGGTTTGTGTTGAAGTCTGCATATATATATTTTGAAGAAGGGATGATTGTTCCGGTCTGTTACACACTCGCGTTTTTGATACTATCAAATCAAAACTATTTCATTAGAATTCTTAATAAATTGTTTCTTAACCAAACACTTCTAAACAATTCATATATAACTAGATTAGGCCCCGCGTATACGCGGGTTTATTTTAATTTCCTTTTATAAAAATCATGAAAGAATATTAAACAAAATTTGATCACTTTTAAAAATAAGTAAAATAATATTAAAAACCCGATAATAAATCTCTAAATAAACTAAGATATGTAATATTTTTACATTTTAATTTTGAATTCATGATATGAAATAGAAAAGCTTACATGTGTCTAAATCTAATGGACTCGTTAATTTATGAAACTTTGATTATTCCATTGCTGAAACCTTTATTCTAAATATTGATGAATTTTTTTAATATTGTTTTATCTAACAAAAAAATGGAAAATTTAACTATTTAATATTAGAAGATTGGTCCATTATAAAACTTTCTTTTTAATATTATTTAGTTCCTTGATAATTATTTTGTTAGTTTTCTATTTATATTGTTTCTTTTTCAATTTTGTGTTTGCCTCTTACCATTATAAATTTTCATTTTCATTATTAATTAGTTGTTTTACAATTATTTTGTTAGTTTATTTATTTATGTTACTACATTTTTCCAATTTTATTGTGTTGACATATGTCATCACCAGATCAAATATTAGACACATGTAGCGATCTAAAGTTAATTATTCTTCATTGATATCTTGAACTTTTAAAACATGATTTTTTATTTCTTAATGAGAAAGAAACTTAAAAAAATATAGCTTGTTATATTTTCCTTTTCGTATTTGGAATATGTTTTTTTATTCCTTATCTTATTGGATGTAACAATTTTTTAATTATTTCTTCATAATTTTCTGATTTTTCGTTTTTTTTTCCTTTTCGTAATAGGATTATGTTTCTTCTTTACTTTTCCTAATGGATGTAATATTTTTTCTTTTTAATTGTTTATTTCTTTTTTTTCTGATTTTTCCTAATGTACAAATAGGATTTTATTTATTACATTATTTTGAATTTTAATATGTGTTTGGACAATATAAATTTGATGAATGAGAAAACTTTTTCTATTATGATATGAAAAATATGATTTTTCTTCTTTTTACTCTAATAGATATTTTTTTAATTTTCCTTTTTCTAACATTTTTTAATTATTTTTTTTTCCAAGACACGTGTCATGATCTTAACAGACGTAACATTAAAAAGTGACATATGTCGCGATCCTATAAATTATAAAAATCCTACATGTCGCAACCATCTAGCTTTATATAATAAGATATGTGTTTGGATAATATAAATTTGATGAATGGGAAAACCTTTTTCTGTTAGGATATGACAAATATTAATTTTACTTTTTTTAATATAATAGATTAAATTTCGTTTTTTTAATTATCCTTTTTCTAGTATTTTTAAAAATATTTTTTCCCCTAATACATGTGTCACGATCTTAACGGACATAATCTTAAAAGTGACACATGTCACGATCCTATATTTTATAAAAATCATACGTGTCGCAACCACGTCGCGCGCATCTAACTTTATATAATAAGATCATCATCACAGAGCAATACATAAAAGAGAGATTGTTGTATTAGTTCATAAGAGGGATATCTTGGGAAATCATATAATCTTTTTAGCTTGATGAACACGTCTTACCAAATATATGTGAGAACAAAAAAAAGAAAGAAGAAAATTTGCATTGTGTTATGTGTAATTATGTGGATGCCCATAATTAGCCCCACTAGATCCACTTCTCTATTTGTATATTTTTCTTTTCTCTCACAACACATGGTAGATTTTTTTGTTTGCTAAGATGGCTAGGGTTTCGTGATGTTGTGAAAAAACTTGTGACGGTAAGAAAAAAACAATTAAATCATCTCGATTTATTAATAACAACTTAACAAGTGTCTCGTAATTTTTTGCCATGGAGAGAGAGGAGAAACAAAACCCTAATTCTCATGAGCGTATCATACGAGACACACGCAACGCCTGGTCCGAGCTGCCTGCAGATCTGTTGATTTCGGTTTTCGAACGCCTCGGCTTTGCTAGTTTCCAACGAGCCAAATCCCTTTGTTCTTCTTGGCACTCCGCTTCCAGACAATGTGTGCCCAAAAAGCAGATCCATTGGCTGATTCTCTACAACTACAACAAGGATTCTTGCATGTTGTTCAATCCCGAGGAAAAAGACAAACTTTACGAATCGCAAGATCTTGAATTATCAAAAGGAAAGTGTATTGCAACCTGTGGAAGTTGGTTCCTTATCAAAGATCCTTTCTACACTAATCTCTACATTTTGAATCTCTTTACACACGAGATCATCAATCTACCTTCCGTGGAGTCACAGTTTGGAACGAAAGAAATGAAGCGAGACGAAGATAATGGCTTTGCCGTACTATCTCCTGTGTTTTGGGTTGACGAGAAAACCAAAGAATTATGTTGTTCTATGGAATCTTGACGAATGCCATGTTGTTTATGCCAAGAAAGGAGATATCTTTTGGAATCCAATCCCGAAAACTTCAGATTGTTATCACATGGTTTACAAGGATCACAAGCTTTACTTGTTGGACGTATATGGCGTTGTCCGTATCTTTAATTTATCTGGAGAGACTCCACAAGAAACCTTATTTCTATGTCGTGTTTCTACTCCGAATTATGAAACATTTGACGAATTATTTATTAAAATTCGTCATTGGAGAAACCCATGGACTCATTCTAGTACAAAACTTGTAGGCACAGTAACAGGACAAGTCCTCAAGGTTGTCAAACTGTACAAATATTTGCCGAGAAAGAAGTCTAGACTCGTCTGGTCTTTCCGGGTTTACAAGGTTTGTTCATCAGGATTCTTGAAGAAGAAGGAACAGATCAAGTCTTTGGGATCAAGGCATCACTGTGCTTGCCAATGACGTTGAGGGATTCATTAGAAATGCCATCTATTTCAGCTATTGTGATTATGGTGGTAAAAACACAACTGGATCCTTGTCTTTAATCTCAACACACGTAAGGTGGAGCCTTTGCACAAATATGATTGGTCTTCTGGTCAACGCTGTAAAGGTCAATGGTTCTTACCAAGTTTTACGCATTCATCATGATGTTCACTCAACAATGTTTTCTATTCGATCAATATGTTAATTTCTTGAAAAAGTCTGTATTGTTTTACCCTGTTTTCAGTTTGTTTCCAATATTAAAAAGTCAAATACAAAATTGACCTTTAAAAAAAAAGATTTGACTTTTGACCATTACATTTTTCATTAGAATTCAATAATATCAAACTGATTTTTGATACTATCAAATCAAAACTATTTCATTAGAATTCTTGATAAATTGTTTCTTAACCAAACACTTCACAGTTCATATACAATCATCATCACAGAGCAATACATTTACATTATACATAAAGAGAAATTGTTGAATAAAGCATAAGATGATTTTTTGGGAAATCATATAATCTTTTTAGATTGATGAACACGTAATATATGTGAGAACAAAAAAAAAAGGAAATATGGTAACTAGCCTTACTAGATCAACTTTTCTATTTGTATATTTTCCTTTTGAACTCTATGTTGTACACCTATATATATATGGATCTATCATTCATGCATGGACCTATTTCTTCTTTCACTTTCTCTTTTCTCTCCCAACACATTGTAGATTTTTTGTTTGCTAAGATGGCTAGGGTTTCGTGATGTTGTGAAAAAACTTGTGACGGTAAGAAAAAAAAAGTTCAATCATCTCGATTTATTAATAACAACAAGTGTCTCTTTAATTTTTGCCATGGAGACAGAGGAGAAACAAAACCCTAATTCCAGACAATCTGTGCCCAAAAAGCAGATCCATTGGCTGATTCTCAGCAACTACAAGAAGGATTCTTGCATGTTGTTCAATCCCGAGGAAAAAGACAAACTTTACCAAACGCAAGATCTTGAATTATCAAAAGGATTTTTTAGTGCAACCTATGGAAGTTGGTTCCTTATGAGCGATTCTCTCTGCACTAATCTCTACATTGTGAATATCTTTACACACGAGATCATCAATCTACCTCCCGTGGAGTCACAGCTTGGAATGAAAAAGACGAAGCGAGACGAATATAATGGCTTCATGGTACGATCTCCTGTGCTTTGGGTTGACGAGAAAACCAAAGATTATGTTGTTCTGTGGAGGCTTAAAGACTGCTGTGTTGTTTATTCCAAGAAGGGAGATATGTTTTGGAATCCGATCCCGAAAACTTCAGATTGTTATCACATGGTTTACAAGGATCACAAGCTTTACTTGTTAGACATATATGGCGTTGTTCGTATCTTTAGTTTAGCTGGAGAGACTCCACAAGAGAGCTTTCTATGTCGTGTTCCTACTCCGAGCAATGAACCATTTAACGAATGTCTAGAAGTTCGTCACTGGAGAAACCCATGGACTCATGATAGTACAAAACTTGTAGTCACAGTAACAGGAGAAGTCCTCAAGGTTGACAAATTGTACAAATACAAATATTCGTCGAGACAAAAGAGGTCTAGAGCTGTTGTCTGGTCTTTCCGGGTTTACAAGGTTTGTTCATCAGGTTTCTTGAAGAAGAAAGAACAGATCAAGTCTTTGGGAGAGGAGGCAATGCTTTTCGATCAAGGCGTCACTAAGCTTGCCAATGACGTTGAGGGATTCATTAGCAATGCCATCTATTTCAGCTATGGTGATGAAAACACAACCGGGATCCTTGTCTTTAATCTCAACACACGGAAGGTGGAGCCTTTGCACAAATATGTTTGGTCCTCTGCTCAGATCCGTATCCATAGAGGTCAATGGTTCTTACCAAGCTTCACGCAGTCATCATCCTGTTCATCTCAACAATGATTTTCTGTTCGATCAATATGTTAGTTTCTTTAATTAAAAAAGTCCATGTAATGTTTTACTCTAATTTTTATTTCCTCAGAGTGTTTCCAATATTAAAAAGTCAAACACAAAATTGACCATAAAAACAAAAAAGGTTTTTGACTTTTGACCATTACATTTTCGTTTGAAATCACTAAACCCTCTAAAGTATTAAACTTTATTGCTTCCCACCCGGAAAAGAATCTGCTCATCCAAAGATCTCACCGCCGATCTCACAATCGTACGTCTTACTTGAGCGGAGTTTGCAGGCCGCCGTGTCAGGTCAGAACTCTCTCCTGAACCAATTTCTCATTTTCTGCTTCTCTAATTTCGTTAGCCTTTGTAAACTTTTAGAGCGTCGCACACCAAGTGTTTGCTAAAATGCCCCAACTGAGATTTTAAGATAAACACAATCTCTTTTAAGAATTCACTGAATCAATTGAACAATTTGTTGACAGAAAACAATGTATATGTTTGCCAATACAGGTTGCGTAGGATGTTGTTGTTGTTATAGTCATGAGTAGATTCGTGAAACATCCGGTTATCGCTCTTTTGGATTCGAGAGCTACGTTCAGAGAAGTCCGGCAAATCCACGCCAAGCTCGTCGTCGACGGGACGCTAAACGATAACCATCTCGTTGGTCAGTTCGTAAAGGCGGTAGCTTTGAGTGACCAGAGATACTTAAACTATGCGAATCAGATCCTGGATAACTCTGATAGTCCTACATTGTTTGCTCTCAATTCCATGATCCGTGCACACTGCAAGAGCCTTGTTCCGGAGAAAAGTTTCGATTTTTATAGAAAGATACTCTGTTCCGGGAATGGACTTAAACCGGATAATTACACTGTCAACTTCTTGGTTCAGGCTTGCACAGAGATAGGGATGCGTGAGACAGGGCTTCAAGTTCATGGTATGGCTATTAGAAGAGGTTTTGACAACGACCCGCATGTGCAAACCGGGTTGATTTCATTGTATGCGGAGCTGGGATGTTCTGATTCTTGCCGTAAGGTGTTTGATTCGGTTTCTTGTCCAGATTTCGTGTGTCGAACAGCGATGGTCACGGCGTGTGCGAGGTGCGGGGATGTTGGTTTCGCGAGGAAGTTGTTTGAGGAGATGCCGGAGAAAGACCCGATTGCTTGGAACGCGATGATCTCTGGCTATGCTCAGGTTGGAGAGTCGAGGGAAGCTCTGGACTTGTTTCATTTGATGCAGATGGAAGGAGTGAGAGTCAATGCGGTTTCGATGATTTCGGTTTTATCTGCTTGCACTCAGTTAGGAGCTTTAGACCAAGGGAGATGGGCTCATTCTTACATAGAGAGAAACAAAATCAACATCACTGTGAGGCTTGGGACTACGTTGGTCGACTTGTATGCGAAATGCGGTGACATGAGCAAAGCTATGGAGGTATTTTGGGGTTTGGAAGAGAAGAATGTGTACACGTGGAGTAGCGCCTTGAACGGGTTTGCAATGAATGGGTTTGGAGAGAAATGTCTCGAGCTTTTCTCTCTTATGAAACAAGAAGGTGTGAGTCCAAACGCTGTCACGTTCGTCTCTGTTCTCAGAGGTTGCAGTGTGGTTGGTTTGGTAGATGAAGGGCAAAAGCATTTTGATTCGATGAGGAATGAGTTTGGGATAGAGCCTCAGCTCGATCACTACGGCTGCTTAGTTGATTTGTACGCTCGTGCGGGTCGTTTAGAAGACGCAGTGAGTATCATCATGCGAATGCCAGTGAAGCCTCATGCTGCTGTTTGGAGTTCTGTGCTACACGCATCTAGAATGTACAAGAACGTTGAGCTTGGCGTGCTTGCGTCTAAGAAAATGCTCGAGCTAGAGACCAAGAACCACGGGGCTTATGTTCTGTTATCAAACATCTATGCAGATTCAGACGATTGGGACAATGTTAGTCACGTTAGACAGTCGATGAAATCTAGAGGAGTCAGGAAGGAACCAGGTTGCAGCGTAATGGAGGTCAATGGAGAAGTCCATGAGTTCTTTGTTGGGGATAAGTCTCACCCGAGATATAACGAGATCGAGGCGGTTTGGAAGGATATCACGACAAAGCTGAGGCTTGCTGGGTATAAAGCGGACACGAGTCCGGTTATGTTTGATATAGATGAAGAGGAGAAAGAGGATGCGTTGTGTTTACATAGCGAGAAGGCCGCGATTGCGTTTGGAATAATGAGTTTGAAAGAAGATGTTCCGATTAGGATCGTGAAGAACCTTCGTGTGTGTGGTGATTGTCATGAGGTCTCTTTGATGATCTCCAAGATTTTTGATAGAGAGATCATTGTGAGAGACAGGAACAGGTTCCACCATTTCAAGGACGGTCTCTGTTCTTGCAATGGCTTTTGGTGAATCTAGTTTTGTTCTCCTCTGTTTACTTGGTTTTATTTAATCGGAACGTTTTAAACTCGTTTAATGGAATTAGATAGATTAAGATCACAAGAGAATACATCTTGAAGTGTACCAAAACGAAGGCTTATGAGATCAAATAATACATGAACGACTAGCTTGATAGGAGTCGTTGCTCCTCGTCGGAGACTGGGACATGTGGACGGTCGATGAGGAAGTTCTCGTAGATGAAGCCGGCGAGACCACCGCCAATCAACGGTCCAACCCAATATACCCAATGGTCAGTCCAGTTTCCAGAGACTAAAGCAGGACCAAAGGACCGGGCCGGGTTCATCGAGGCTCCGGAGAAGGCGCCGCCTGCAAGGATGTTTGCTCCGACGACAAAACCGGTGAGAAGTGGACCGAACCCGTCAAGAGCACCTTTCTTGGGATCCACCATAGTGGCGTAGACAGTGAAGAGAAGTGAGAATGTCAAGAGGATCTCCCATACGATCCCTTGAGTGTAACTTATTCCACTTGCCAATGTGTGAACCGGAGTTCCCTAACCACAAAGCGTAATTGTATACTGTCAAAGTATGTAATAAAATCGAAATGTAGGAAATGCATAATCGTTTTTAACAAGTTTTAACAAATCCGTAGAAATATTTTTTCGTTCTTTCTTTCTTTGAGTTAACAACAACTTCAACTAAAAGTTAACTAAAAGTTTCCTAATATGAGAACATATGTTATTGAACCATAATGTATATCGCATTTCGGTCTTGACGTCTATTTTAGTAATGTGTTAAAACGTAAAAGTTGTTAATTAGCTATTAATTTGAATCTATTATATTAAATAAAAGTCTGGGTGGAGATTTTGTACCATTCCTCCGGTGAGATAACTGAGGAGGAAGCATGCTGCGGAGGAGGCCAACAACTGATCAATCCAATAGAGGAATGCACGGAAGACGCTGATGTGGCCGCCGAAAAGTAGGCCGATGGTGACAGCAGGGTTGAGGTGGCCACCGGAGATATGGCCGGCAGATATCATTACCGCCACCACAAATGCATGAGCCACCGCCACCGCGAAAAGTCCCACCAATGTGTTTCCAACTAAACTGTCTATATATATCACGGAATAAGTGTTATACAATTAAAATGCATCATGGTTTCAAGTATCAATATAAATTGACCAAAGTGTAGTAAAGAGCATGATACGTAAAAGACTTTACCAGTGGCCATAGCGGATCCGACGCCGGCGAAGACAAAGAAAAAGGTGGTGATGAATTCAACGACGAGGGCTTTGATGCAATCCGGCTGAAACGCCTCGCCATGGTTCCCTAAGGCGATCTTCCTCATGGCTTAGAATAAAGTTAAGAAAAAACCAAAGAAATATATTAGCTAGATGGTATTAGTTGACGTTGCTCGTAATACACCAGAGCTACTTATAATGAGTTTTCTTTGGCCAAACAAAAGAAAAGGAGAAAGGAAATGGGGCACATGGAATATAATTATTGTATGGGAAATGATTGATTTGAGTTCGAAAGTTGACTTGTATAATGTTCTTTAGCTAGATCTGAGATGTAATAATTTCTTTAACATATCGTTTTAGAAGCCGCTAGGTAATGGTTTGAGACATGCTATACACATTACAATGCTCTGATTGGTGTCCTTAAAGGGTGGTAAAGGTTGTCCTCTTTCCATGTACAGAAAAGTAAGTTGTCCTCTTTCCATGTAAAGAAAAGTAAGAGATTATGATTGTGCTTTGGATAAGTGGAACAAAGAAAATGGGCTTAGAATCAACCCTTGTTATGAGCCAGATTTAGGTCCAACATCGTGTAAGATTCAACCAAAACATCAAAACCATTTGTTTCTTTATTAAAGTGGAATCCATCTCCTATAATTTTGACACAACAAGACAATTAACTTTGTACAGAAATGTTGCTTACCAAAGTGGCAATGCTATATATACACTAATGAATCCGAGCACATACTTTTGAATTAGTATCATCGTTAGAGACAATTTAGTTGTATTTGTCAATTAATAGTTTCGTAAAGAAAATTAAAGTGTTAAAGAAGTATATTTATGTGGTCCAATTTGCCCACCAAAAAAGGATCGTGAGACATGAGCGTCTCCAAGCTGTTCGCCTCTATGCTCCAGCTCCCTTTTATTAAACTATCATTAAAGACTATTTTAATCGTTCAATTATTTTTACTATAATCCAATTTATAGTTTTTTACATGTTGTAGGCATATCAAGAACTTACAGTTAGGTAGAGAAAATCAAAGTTTATAGCTTAAGTTCTTCCCTATAAACTGAAATTTGAGGCTATAGTTTTAACTAAAATAGCTGACTTTATGGATAAACTCTTGATTTATTCATAGATGGCTTAAACTAATGAGACGAAAAATCATTAATAAAAAACAAAATTTCAATAACAATCATTAATAAAAAAAAACTACAATAATGCCATTTTGTTCTTTTTCGGGCAACTGTTTTAAAAGCTTGTGATTTTTGTTCGCTTTCTCTTTCGCTGCTCTCACACGCAAATGGCTCATCTCTTCAGAGAGCTGTCTCTGGGTCAGTCCAAGAGAGAGGCAACGCCGCCGCCATCGGCGACTTCACGGTCCTCTTCAATGGCCACCGTTATACCTTCCGATCTACCTCCATCTCCACTTGGACAACTCGCTGTCCAGCTCTCCGAATCCGATCTCCGTCTCACTGCCTACGAGATCTTCGTCGCCGCAAACCGCAGCGCCACCGGGAAGACACTCTCATCTGCTGTTTCATCAGCCGCCGCCGTTGCCAATCCCGACTCTCCTAACGGCGGCTCTCCTGCTTCTCCAGCAATCCAACGCTCTCTGACCGCAACCGCCGCGAGTAAAATGAAGAAGGCTCTGGGGATGAAGTCGCTATCTTCGTTATCTCCTGGATCTATAACGAAGAGCCCTGGCTCGGGTTCTGGCTCGGCTACCGGTTCGGGTGGTAAATCGAAGCGTCCCACTACTGTCGGCGAGCTCATGCGGATCCAAATGCGTGTATCGGAGAATGTCGATTCGCGTGTTCGTCGAGCTTTCCTCAGAATCGCTGCTAGTCAGGTTTAGCTCAATTTCACTTTCTGCATTTCCTTCTCGCTGGATCTCTGTGATCCAATTTAGCTCAATTTCGGGTCAAAATCTTACATTGATGAGTGAATTCGATTTAGAGTAAATCTCGAGCTTGATTATAGTTGAATACGATGATCTTATAATATAGATTCCACTAATGTATCTGGGTTATGACTATTTTGGAAAAAGTTTAGATCTTTAAATTGTCTAAATTTGGTATGATTTTGGATAAGAATGTGTAAGTTCTTCGCTTAAATTTAGTATATTTTTCCAGGTTGGAAGGAAGATTGAGTCAGTGGTTCTTCCATTAGAATTGCTACAGCAGCTAAAGTCTTCTGATTTCACGGATAATCAAGAATACGATGCGTGGCTCAAGAGATCGTTGAAGGTTCTTGAGGCAGGTCTTTTATTGCACCCTCGAGTACCGCTCGATAAGTCGAACTCTTCTCAGAGACTGCGGCAGATAATTCACAGCGCACTAGACCGGCCTTTGGAGACTGGAAGGAACAATGAGCAAATGCAGAGTCTTAGATCAGCGGTCATGTCTCTAGCCACTAGATCCGATGGCTCTTTCTCTGACTCTTGCCACTGGGCTGATGGCTCTCCGTTTAATCTCAGGCTCTATGAGCTGCTTTTAGAAGCTTGCTTTGATTCGAATGACGAGTCTTCCATGGTTGAGGAAGTTGACGACCTTATGGAGCATATAAAGAAGACGTGGGTGATTCTTGGAATCAACCAACAGCTTCATAACCTCTGTTTCACTTGGCTTTTGTTTTCTCGCTATGTTGTCACTGGACAAGTTGAGATGGACCTGCTTTACGCTTGTGATTCTCAACTAGCGGAAGTTGCTAAAGATGCAAAGACAACGAAGGATCCTGAATACTCTCAGGTTTTGAGTGCTACTCTAAGTGCTATATTAGGTTGGGCAGAGAAGAGGCTACTTGCTTATCATGACACCTTTGACCGGGCTAATGTTGGTACCATGGATGGAATTGTTTCTTTGGGTGTATCAGCAGCTAGGATACTAGTTGAAGATATATCTAACGAGTATCGTAGGAGGAGGAAAGGAGAAGTTGATGTAGCTCGTACGAGAATCGAGACTTACATCAGGTCATCACTACGAACCGCTTTTGCTCAGGCAAGTGTCTGCATTGTCACAAGGAATGTTCACCATTGTTTCATTTTTAATCTTTCTTTACTTATTTGATTGTTTTGTGTCTTTCTGTAGAGAATGGAGAAAGCAGATTCTAGTAGGAGAGCAACTAGGAACCAGAAAAACCCTCTTCCGGTTCTCGCTATTCTCGCTAAGGACATTGGTGAGCTAGCTGTTCAAGAAAAGCGGATGTTTAGTCCAATATGGAAGAGATGGCATCCGTTTGCCGCAGGGGTTGCTGTGGCTACACTCCATGTTTGTTATGGAAACGAGATTAAACAGTTTATATCCGGAATATCTGAATTGACACCTGATGCTGTCCAGATACTAAGAGCTGCAGATAAGCTAGAGAAGGATCTGGTGCAAATCGCGGTAGAGGATTCTGTTGACAGTGATGATGGTGGCAAAGCAATTATCCGTGAAATGCCTCCTTTCGAAGCTGAGACAGTTATTGCTAATTTGGTCAAAGACTGGATCAAGGCAAGAATAGACAGACTGAAGGAATGGGTTGACAGGAACTTGCAGCAAGAGGTTAGTAACATTTCACATATTCAGAGTGATTAAGCTTCAAAAGTTGAGCCAAGTTAACGCCAATGGTATTCTTTTGTTCAGGTTTGGAATCCGTTGGAGAACCAAGAAGGAGGATATGCACAATCTGCTGCTGAAGTGTTGCGGATTACTGATGAAACTTTGGATGCGTTTTTTCAGCTTCCCATACCGATGCATCCTGGGGTCTTGCCTGATTTGATCGTTGGTTTAGACAAATATCTTCAGTATTATGTCTCCAAAGCGAAATCTGGTTGCGGTAAGTTTGCATATGATTCACCTCAACATATGTTTGAGTCTTTAGTCTCTGACATCTTATATTGTATCTTATCATGATGATGCTCAGGCTCTCGGACGACGTATATGCCTACAATGCCTGCACTCACCAGATGTACAACAGGATCAAAGTTCCAAGGCGTGTGGAAGAAGAAAGAAAAGGCACTTCCCTTGCAGAAGAGAAACTCTCAGGCTTCGATTGCCAACGGTGACAATTCCTTTGGTGTCACGCAGATATGTGTCAGAATAAACAGCTTGCACAAGATCCGCAGCGAGCTCGATGTAGTGGAGAAGAGAGTGATCACACATTTGAGGAACTGTGAATCAGCTCACAACGACGACTTCTCCAATGGCTTAGGAAAGAAGTTTGAGCTCACTCCAGCGGCTTGCATCGAAGGCGTTCAACAGCTATCCGAGTCTCTGGCTTACAAACTCGTCTTCCAAGACCTAAGCCACTCATTATGGGACGGCTTATACATAGGCGAGCTCTCAACCTCTAGAATCGAGCCTTTCCTCAAGGAGCTAGAACAGAATCTGACACTCATAGCAGAGACAGTACACGAAAGAGTCCGTACACGGATCATAACCGATATTATGAGAGCCTCTTTCGACGGCTTCTTACTTGTCCTGCTCGCTGGAGGACCCTCTAGAGCTTTTACAATACAAGACTCTCAGATAATGGAGCAAGATTTTAAAGCTATGAAAGATTTGTTCTGGGCGAACGGAGACGGTCTTGCCATGGACCTGATCGATAAGTTCTCGACCGCGGTCAGAGGCGTGCTTCCTCTGTTTAGTACAGAGACAGATAGTTTGATAGAGAGGTTTAAAGGAATGACGCTCGAAGCGTATGGTTCTTCAGCTAAGTCTAGGCTTCCGTTGCCTCCGACTTCAGGCCAGTGGAATGGTATGGAGCCGAACACGGTCTTACGGGTTTTGTGTTACCGGAACGATGAATCTGCTACGAGGTTTTTGAAGAAGACGTATAATCTGCCAAAGAAGCTCTAGTAGAGACGACTCTACTTGAACGTTTTAATAACCTCACAGGAAGAGGAGTGTGTTCCACTTGGAGGGAACATCCGAGATTTGTATAGTGAGCTTCAATTTTTTTTCATAAATTATTTGTTTTGTGGTTTTTTATACATTTTTATACGTATTAAATATTATATTCATTTGTTTTTACCGTTTGTTATTATTATTTTTGAAGAATATATAAATAACGTGTTTAATGTAGCAACCATTGTCTACTTCATCACATGTGTTAGTTTTTTTTTTTCTTCCTAAATAGTTATTTTTCAGATATTAAGCATTTAAGCCTGCCTGTGTCCCTAATAATTTTCTCAAAACCTTATAAACAGAGCCCAAACAACATATATTTGGGCTTATAACGAATGTCGGTCTAAGTATATGTATATTAAAGCTAGAAGTTTTCATGAGACGAGTTTATAGAAACCCTAAATAAGTAAAACGAGATTGTGTCTCCCACAACCTCCTTAGCCGCAAACAAGACTTTTTGGTTGTTCACCTTCTTGCCAAACGACCTGGTCAATCCTTGGAAAAGATTCCTTCTCCTTCTACCAACTCTCAAATCGTTACCAATCCAGAGGTGTAAAAAAAGTTTGTGAAGAACTCAAGACAATATTAGATTCTCCAATGATCTCGACCAAAAAGCTTTTGATTCTCCAAGTATGTCCAGAAAATCAAAAACTTTTTGGTCCAGATCCTTGGAGAATCTAATATTGTCTAGAGTTTTTCTTTTTCTCTTTTTAAGAGAGTTCTTCACAAACTTCTTTTTACTCCTCTCGAGTTTGGTAATGATTTGGGAGTTTGGTAGCATTGAAATCGACTGGATGCTTGCTAAAATCATCCATATTCTCGTACGTATCTCCTCTTTTAGATTTGAAGTCGAAAAAAGCCTTTGAACATTCTCTGAAACATTTTCTTAGCTTCGTCTCCAGAGATCTTCTTCACTTGTTCATTTGTTGCCCCCCGGCTTCTTCACATGCTCAGTGTTCGATGTCTTCGTCTTCTTCCTAGCCTCATCCTCTCTTTCTAGGAGAAAGGAGAAGGATATTTGGTGCGTAGTAATCGTTTTGGAGTTTGATAAAAGTGTATTGGCAAGGTTGAGTGGTTTGATAGCGTACTTTCTTTCCGTCGTGACTGTGGGATTATGCATTGTGTTGGTCGTACGGATTAATAAAAAATGGTAATCAAAACAATGATCGTTGTGTGGTTATGTTTATTAGTACTGTATATGATTTGTCTCTCTTTGCGCAGATGAGTTTTTTCTATGTTTGGTAATAGTTTTCCTCTTCTTTTCTTTTGTGGGTACGTTTTGGGAGTATGGAAAAAAGGGGAAATTTGGTGTAGAATGTTGGGGATTAAAGCATTTGTCCACCTTATTCGGACTAAAAGACATACGTTAATGATAATGATAATGACTGTTATGATTTTTGATACTTCTTTGTTTTGGCTTATATCGAAAGCCTTAATTGGTTGTTCCCTACAATGAAGATGTAGAGAGATTACTACTTGGTGTTAATATGATTGTTACCTTTCAATTCTTTTTTTTTTTTTGAATTATAAAATGGTAGAATCAAATCATCCGATAGACATATTTTTACAGATGATGACAAAAAAAATTCACAGATGTCATATATGTAACCCAAGTTTGGGAACCAGCATTGTTTAGAAACGTGATTTACAAGTAAACTCGAAGACGTTGTATAACTCTTGTGTAGTTGATAAATTAATTTAGAAAACACTACATAGAAACTCATCTTCTCAACTAGAGATGATCACATCGTAGGCAATCATGTTATCATATCATTATTTCCACTCTATATCTTTATGAATCCGTACGGGCTAAACAATGCATAATCTTGTAGTCATCAGTGATGGACAGTAAGCGTTCAAACCACGCAACCTTCCCCGTAATTTCTTCTCCATTTCTCTCCAACGCAATCATTACACACCAAACAATCGTCTCACTTTTTTTCAACGAAAGTTGCTGCAAGACCGCCAAGTTTCCATTGTATTCAGCCAATGCGACTTTAAGTCTGAAGTTAGGAAACCACAAAAGCGTAGATATACCATTAACAACTCTCCATTCCTTCTCCTTGGAGTTGTACCACATTAACCCAACACCAATGCAATAAATGTAGAGCACATTGTCTACCACACACACGTCTCGGCTGTATGGTTCTTTTGGTATCTCAGTCTTCTCACATTTACCATCTCTCGGATCATAAACTATGACGTGTCCAACACTTCTCACGTAAATCTTTCTGTCTAATGACGGGCTTACCACTGACATCAATATCCTTGTTTTCTTCATTGAGTCAAACTTTTGAATAAATAATATTCTTCTTATTTATTTATATCATCATCTTTCGGATATTTTTCAGAAAATCTAACCTAAGAGTAATTTTTCTTGCAAAAAGGAAAAGGTAAATTGTAATCCATATAAATAATCATGGTTGTTGTTAGTTTTTTCTTTTCTTTTACTCCTCTTTTAAACGACATGTCTCCTCCTCTGAAGAAAATCAGAAAACGCTCCTCCTTCATCGCCAACGAGCCACCGCGAGAAGATAACAGCGATCCGTCGTTGCCGTCGCTTACTTCATTGCCTGAAGAAATCGTTTTGCAATGTTTACTCCACGTCCCAAGAAACTATTACCTAAACCTCTCTTACGTTTCCAAAACCCTAAGGTCTCTTGTTCACTCGCCTGAGCTCCACCGTTTGCGATCTTTCCTCTCAAAATACTCCACCTACGTCTCCTTCCTAGAGGAAAACCATCCTTACCAATATTGGTTCACTCTCAGTCGGATTCAGGAAACAAAAACGGAGATTAGGTATCGACTGGTTTGGGTTCCTTTTCCTCCTCTTAGGCACTACGCTTCCATTGTAGCCGTCGGATCAGAGATCTTCCTCTTTAGAGGATCATCCAAACCGTCTTCCGATTTATGGATTTTTGATACTCGCTCAAGCGAGTTAACTAAGGGACCAAGCATGAAGGTAGCTCGAACTAGTGAAACCGTTGTTGGAGTAATAAACGGGAAGATATACGTGATCGGAGGGTGTGAAAGCAAGATACAAGTGGAGGTTTTCGATCCGAAAACGAGGAAGTGGAATATTGGTGAGAGTCCTGAAGAAAGATTCCAGCGCGGTTTGATGACACGGTTAAGTGTGTCGCTAGACTGGAAGGTTTACTTTGAGGGAACCGGAAGAATCAATGTGTACAATGCAGGACAAGGTGGAAGAAGGTTGGAGAAACTGGACATGTCGAGTAATGTTGTTTGGTGTATGTGTGTAGTTGCTGATTTGCTCTATGCTTACTTTTTAAACCTTGGTTTGATGTGGCTTGATGCAGAACGTAAGACATGGAGAAAAGTGGTTGGTTTTGATAGTGGGAATGTGAAGAAACTTGATGTTGAGTTTCATAACGCTGTAATGGCAGAGTACGATGGGAAGCTGGCGGTTTTTTGGCCGGACAGGGTTGATCCTTTGACGGAGGTTAGGTGTGCATTGATAGCGTTGAATTGGATTGAAGATAGAATTCAAGGGAGGATAGTGTGGTCTGGCGAAGTAGGCATTATGCCACATAATTATAGTTTACATACTTGTTTAGTTGTTTCTGAGTGATTGTGTTTGTTTTTGCACCATCATAAAAAGAACTTGTATGTAGAAGGTGAAAACAAGAAAGCAGAAGAAAAAAGGACCGTATTGTTATTTCATTGTTTGTGTACTTTGCCTTGAGTTTATGGCAATGGAGTATTGGTTTGGTCAAGGATATGATAATTAAAAGTACAGATTTACCAGAATTTTTATTTTATTATAAATTATTCATTTTTATTGGTAACAGTTTTATGTTTCGATAAACATTTATGTAACGACTATGCTTTTGAGATTATTTCAAAGTTTGATATCAACTTAAACATTTTGATGGCTTTAAGATATTAAAATATTGCAAAAAATCACATATTTGTGTTATCATTCAAATAAACGCAAACACATCGTCTGACAGGACCTTTGCGCTCACAGAAAGATTTTGCGGTTGGTCCGAACCTGTTCTTGCATGTAGGACCACAAGCAATGATATCACAATCTTTGAGAATTTGTAGACATCCATATTCTGTTCACCTATATTCAACAAAATATATTTTAGTTTTTCAAAAAAAAAATAAATAAATAAAAAACAAAATATCTTATATATAATAAATGAATAACTCTCTCCAGTGACACCTGGCAACTCTCCTCTTTCTAATAAAAAGAGACAGGTGTCATCCCTCATTTATTTTTAAAAAAATTCGTTCAAAGTCCTTATACATATTTTTTTACAAAAAAAACCCATAACATAAACTCATTCCGTTTTGGTCTCCCACGCCGTTTCGTAACCGATACCGCCTCCTGCCCACAAGATCACTTTGTTCCCTCTGATTTCCGGGAAGGATCCGAGACGCTAATCTGCTCGACTTCAACACTTTATACGGTCACTACTTTTGCCGTAACAGTGGTAACAATATTCTAGGAGCCACCAGAAAAAAAAAAATAGATAATGGATTTAGGAGAAGAAAAAGAAACAAAAATTGAATCCCAGGAAGAAGAATTTGTAGATCCAAACATAGAAGGGAGCTTGAGGGCCCAGAAATGAGGCTACCTTGAAGGGAAAAGCAGGAGCACCGCCATGAGTACGAAGCTGAGGTAGATCCGAAGAGGAAAGACAGCCGAAAGAGAGCGCCGAAGAAGAAGAAGAGGAACCAAAGAGTCTGTTTCCTCGACCGCCACCAGGTCAGCACCGTCTGATCGCCTTCTCTTCCGGGGATTAGGGTTTCCCTCTTTTTTCAATTTGCTAACTCGTACCTACGCTCACCTCCCAACCACAGTGGACTCTCTCTCTCTTTCTCATTTGCCGTCAGCCCATTATGGGGCCCAATAAGTTATTTGTTAAACATATTCATACACAGGTTTATGGGTCAATCTTTAATTCGCAGTGTTGTTTCATTTTTTTGCCGGTTCCACTTCTGATGCGTTTTGCACTTCAAAACTCACTGATTTCTTCCTTCCGGGATTTTATTCCAACTTGAAGAGTTGAAATCGAATAGGCTAATTTCTTTAGGTATATGATGGCAATGAAAATGGTGAGGAAGGTGGGAGTGATGGAAGGTTCAAAATGGTTTAGCTGACGAGAGCGACTCTTGAGAAGATGAGGTTTATGCTTCCTTTATTCGTTCTAGAATTTGTCATACTATATGTTTATTTCAGGATCTTGTCTAATTTTTCAATTTGTCATAACCCATATTCTCATCTCTCGAATTTTCTTTTGATATCAAACTTGATCTCTCTCTTGATCTAACTGTTGAATTGTTGAACTGTTCGTTAAAATTCCCAAGAGAGCATCAGATTTCACTGAATTTGATTTTAGCATAAGCTAACCTTTTTCTGATTTTGGTAATGCGTCGTATATACAATGCTCATGATAGAACTGATTTAAAATTCTACTCTGTTTATTTGTTCCAGACACAATGGAACCAAACAGTGAAGAACATGGTTCATTTTCTCAAACAGCTTCACCTATAACTCAAATGACAGCAGCTTCAGTTCTACAAGATGCCTCATCTCAGCCAGGTGATTCATTAGCATTCAATTAGTGATTCTTTGTTTTTTCTTATTAAAGCTGCATTCGATTTACTTTTAAATCACAAAGCCACAATAGATACAGTAGAATAAGTTGTTGAATTCCTAACTTTACTGCAACTGCAGGCGTCTCTGCAAGGCCGCCAAGGTAAACAGAAGTTTGTTCATCTAATTCCAGTTTTGTAAAACCTTGATTCATCTTGAGTCAAATTGTCTGACAGTTGAAACAATGTTTCTGGTTCTGGTTTTGTGTGTGAATCAACAGGGTCTGCTTTCGAAGAGTATGCTGGAGAGTATGTATGTTTCTTTCATAGCTGGATGCTTTCGATCTATCCGGTTTGGTCTCACAGAAGCTCACGGTTTGGAGAGTATGTATTTTCACAACGTTAATCTCCGCCTTACCTAATCCAACCTCTTATATGTATAGCTCCTAACATAATGATCTCTTTGGGCTTTAGGAAAGGACAAGCGTTGCAATTCAACTGGTTGTATGAAAAAGTAGTTTCCACGAGGACTCTACATTCTCGGTTAATTTCGCTAAGGTATCAATCCAAGTACCATGAGAACTCTCTGATTCGTCATATATCAAAACTCTATAGTCCTGAATCTTGACTCTTTGTAACCGTAAACTGAAATTGCGATTGGAAAGATTCATAATTTCTGCTTGTGAACTTGTTTGTTGTGGTTTTGAGGTTGCAATTTTCTTTATTCGATCAAAGATTGTTTATGTCGAGATGCATATTGTGGTTTTTTCATGATTTCTTATATATTTTCGATTTGTTTCTGAAGTTTTTCTCTCTGTATGTGTTCCATTGTCCTCTTAAACAGCTTAACTTGAAGTATCTACTGATGCAAAAAAAAATAGTTTCTCGGAGAGGAGGCTTTAGCATGAGACCGGTCGAACATTGTGTAGAAAAGGAGCCTGTGATTGAGAAAACGAGAATGATCAATACTGTAGAACAGCTCCTTTGTTAGATATGGAAGAGAAGGAAGAGACTTGTGTTGCATCAATAGCTGTTGAAGAAGCGAAAGATATTTGCGTTGAAAAACATGAATCCAATGAGAGAAAGATAGAGGAAGTTTCTGCACTTAGCTTGGCTGATGAAAATCATGTTGACTTAGAGATGGAAGAAAAAGAAGTTGATGTTGTCTCAGGTGATGCAAACATAGTAAAGCTTCCGTTTTTAGTGCTGGAAAAGGAAAATGCAGCTTTTGTTACAAGCAGAGATGAAACTCTTCCTCTGATGGATTCTTGTGTATCTTCTGGTGGAGTGAAAGAAGAGACTGGGTCAGATACATTGGTGTTAAGGAAAAAGCTCCTTGAACTTGATCTGAATGGGTTGCTTGCAGCTATAGTTTCTCCTCTTGCAGATTGTAAAGCTGACATTAATATTGGACGAAGGGCAAGTGAGTTTCAAGATCTTTTGTTTTATTGTCAAATCGTGAGTCCACACTAATGCTATTTAAAAGTGAGTTAAGCAGTCTGCAAAATTATTCTTTGTTTCTGACAGTTTTTAAGAGACCTTTCTGACAGTTCTGTGAAGACTTTCTCAAGTTTTGGTTTTTGTTCATGCTTGAGAGTAGTTTTATTTTATCTCAATGACCATTTATGAAATGATACTATCTAGGCTGTAATGTGGGTTTGTCTTCCTGATAATCACACATTGAAGGCAACATTTTATCCCTCAGAAAAGATCTAATGCTTGATTGATCTTTTCAAGAGAGTAGTTGTCACAAACTTGTCTTTACTGGATCGTGAGATTTTTTTTGGTTTATGATACTATCAGTGCAGTGAACAAGTACTATCATTTTGAAAAACAAATCGATTTCTGCAATGTTTTTTAAGGAGTTAAATGTACAATGTAATATTTCCTGCAACTTCCCTTACGCCTTAATTTTATTTGAAGCATTTTCAAGAGTTGTAACAGATGATGTCCATAAAGGTATATTTTTATATTCGACACATAAAGGGACGAAACTCATGCAAGAGAAGAGGATACCAACTTCACGCTTCTCCTTTGATAAATTCATGTTCTTTAAGGTTTTTAGAAATATTCAGAGTGATTATATTCAGCTAATAGTTTTAACTCTCTCTACTTGTTTAACTACTCTTTAGTTAATGAGGAGAATTCCAACAAGGAACTCAACGGGTTTCTTCAAGATATCCTGTTTTTATCACTAGATTTTGAAAAAATCTCTTTTGTCTTTGTACCGAGAAAAGAGAACCGTCAGGCCGATACACTGGCAAAACGGACACTCAACGAGATTTGTATTGAACCGGTTTAGACTTAATGAGAAAATTAAGTTTTTGCACAAAAAAAAAAAAAAAAAAAAAAAAACTCTTTAGTTAATGAGGAATAATTTTTCTAATGGATTATTTGTTGGAAAATTCATCGCTAACATTTTACAAAATTTGAATTTAGACAAAATAAGGAACAATATATATTTATATTATCACCACAAATTTACATTTGGAAAAAAATATTGGAGATAAAATGTTTACATAATTGATGTGAGAATTAAAATATAAGTGTCAAAATTTTGTAATAGTCACAACCCGCGCATCGCGCGGGCTTAGCCCTAGTATTTTATAATATATATAAATACTTTGGGAGAAATTGCTACTTCAAACTAGAAAATCAACAAATACAGTTTTTGGTTTTCAATGCAAAATGTAAATAATATATTTTACTAGAAAACAATTTAGATATATATTTACATTGTAGGAGAAAAAAAGATTAATGTATACGGTATACCTAAAGAAAATATTATAAGCAAAATGATGGGAAAAACAAGTGAAAAGGTTTTTTTGGCCATATTTGAATTTTTCTTTTTATTTTCTTTAAAGAAGTAATTATTGACCGAGTAAATTTAGTTGATAGATTTGAGAAATATTGTACCACTGAAAAGGGATTTATACCAATACGAAGTAACAAAGTTTAATAAAATTATTTACCATTATATATATGGTTGACCAACAAACTATTTAATTGCAGTTAATTTATTATTATTATTATTATTATTATATATATAAATATGGAAGTTCCCTTATATTACATTGAATATTTGTAATAATTAATTTTGGTATGATATTAAACTGTTAAATTGATAAATTGCAAAGGAAAATTGCTGAGAGCCATGAAGAAAGATTTCAGCGCGGATTGATGACTCGCTTAAATGTGTCGCTAGATTGGAAGGTATATTTGAGGGAACCGGAAGAATCAATGTGTACAATGCAGGACAAGGTGGAAGAAGATTGGAGACATTGGACATGCATGCCAAGCAATGTTGCTTGGTGTATACTGTATGTGTGTAGTTGCTGATTTACTCTATGCTTACTTTTTTAATCTTTGATAGTGGGAATGTGAAGAAACTTGATATTGAGTTTCATAACGCTGCATGTAATGGCAGAATACGATGGGAAGCTGGCGGTTTTTGTGGCCGGACAAGGATGATCCTTTGACGGATATTGAGGTTAGGTATGCATTGATAGTGTTGAATTGGATTGAAGATAGAATTAACGGAAGGATAGTGTGGTCTGGCAAAGTAGCCACAGTGCCAAATGATTCTATTTTACATCATTGTGATCTTGAGTTTATTTGAGGCTCTGATTGGTAAAGTTGCGGAATGGGGGAATTGCGTTTTCATAAGCGTTTCCACAGCTCCGCCAATGATGCATTCGTTCGAACAACTCTTTATTTGTAGAAACCTTCACCCACACATTACCTCCATTGTTTTAATAAAAACTAAAAGCTACGTATTCTCACAATTACAAACATTTCACAATTACAAACATTACCCACTAGTTAAATTGTCTAATAGTGTTAGCACGGTTTTACAAATAAAAATGGAGTATTTGTTTGGTCATGGATAATTAAAAGTACAGATTTGATAGAAATTTTTCTTTCAGTTATTCATTGTTATTGGACACAGTTTTATGTTTCGATAAACATTTATGTAACGACTATGCTTTTGAAATTATTTTGATATCAACTTAAACATTTCGATGACTTTGAGACTTTAAAATATTGCAAAAATCACATATAAGTCTTATCATTTTGATAAGAGTAAACGCAAACACATCGTTTAACAGGACCTTCGCGCTCGCAGAAAGATTTGGCAGTTGGTCCAAACCTTTGCTTGCATGCAGAACCATAAGCAATGAGATCACAATCTTCGAGAATTTCTAGACATCCCATATTCCGTTCAACTATATTCAAAAATATATATTTTATAGTTAGATAATATATAAGTTATTAGAATCTAGGAGAAAATACTACTTCAAACTAGAAAATCAACAAATACAGTGGGTAGTATTTAGGAGAAATTACTACTTCAATTATGGGTTTTCCATTTCACTTCTTTACTGTAAATCAATTTTTATATGTATTTAGATTGTAGGAGGAAAAAAAAACAGATTAAATGTATACGGTATACCTAAAGAAAATATTATAAGCAAGATGATGGGAAAAACAAGTGAAATTTTTTTTTTGGCCATATGATTTTTTTTTATTTGTCTCTTTCTCCTAAGCAGCAATTATTGACCGAGTAAATTTAGTTGATAGATTTGAGAAACATTGTACCACTGAAAAGGATTTATACCATTTGGAAGTAACTAAGTTTTAGAAATGCAATTATTTACCATTATATGGTTGACCAACAAACTATTTAATTGCAGTTTATTGATTATTATATATGGAAATTCATTGATATTACGTTGAATATAATAATTTTGAGATGATATATTAGTTAGTTTTATTGTATAGTTTGGGTAGCTTTTCGAGTATTCCAGTTATTAGTTCGGGTAGTTCTGAATAGTTTGGAACCGATCTAAACCCAATCCCAATATATTTTGGTTGTATGTTAGTTTTCACTTACAGTCCCATAATCGACTCCGATCCGAGATCCACTTGAACTGAACATCTATTTTTTGGTACCTATATGAATTATGAACTTTCCCACCTGAAATATTCAAAATCCGAAAGAAAAAAATCCGAACTGATCCGAATGCCTAGACCAACTAAAAGAGAACAAATGTACACATGCAAATTAATATTTATGAGATAATGTTATGGGATAACTATATCTGAAAATTTCAACCAACAAAAACAAATATTGAATCCGAAAAGAAGTGAAATGGAAAACCCATGATTGACATAATTTAGAGATCGAAATTGGACCAAGCTATTGAGGAAAAGGAATAAAAAGAACAATGTTGACCGAAAAGGAAGTAAGGTCTAAAGAAAGGGCTTTTGCGATTTGCATGGTCTCCAAGGCTTTTACATTAGAACATGCTCACTTAGCTGTTACGTCCCTTTCTACATTTCTAATTTACACAATGTTTTAATCTCAAAGCTAATCAACGATCTTTGACAAAAACAAAAGAGAGTAAAATCAAGCACAAGGAATTCAAAGCATGAGTATAACTTTATGCGAAAGGCTGATTTATGTTGTCATCCGTGGAATAAGCTCAGAATAAAAAATAAAAATAAAAGTCACTGGCTTGGTAGTTTCTACTGTATTATAAAAAGAATAATAAATTTTATCTTTTAAAAGTTTGCAGAAAGAATATGAACAAAATCACTCCTTTGATGCAAAAAGAAAAGAAAAGGTTTCGATCTTCTCATTCCCATCATTGCCAGCAGAAAACTTAAATTTATAGGTATGTATGTACCTATATACTTCATGTGTAGTCGTGTAGACAACCATGCTTATACAAAACATATAAATTGTGAAATAGTAAAAGAAAGAAAAGAAACCAAGAAACGCTTTATCAAAAAAAAAAAAAGGAACCAAGAATCAATGATGACAAATTTTAAAACCAAAGTGGGTGCAAGTGTTAAGTCCTTTTCTTACTGGCTATTCGTTTTGTTCCTCACAACTTTTGACCATATTGTGGAAATTTCATGTTTTTGTAAATAAAATTTATTGAAGTTATCTACTCGATCCTCCCATTTTTTTTTTTGTTTTCTTGTAATTATGTTATCATTATTTCTTAGTTGGTTTATAAAGATAGTGAGGACAGTAGTGTGCTGCTGTGAATTATTCTTTAGCATGAGTATATATATTATGTAGTTCCACTATGGATGAACACGTCACTCAAGTCGCAGTTTTACAAATTTGTTCGATTTTTCGGTTTAGTCACCTTAAAAATGACCTCTTAATTCTTTTTTTCAATAAATATTGTATTAAAAAAAATTGCTTAAATTTTTCAGTAGGGTTTATTGGACTCGAAATACAAAATTCCAAATTTAAACAGTATATATCACAAAGTTCTTTATGGAACATTTGGTAAGAAAGCTCTATAATGGAATTTGGTTTTCGTCATTAGCACAACCATAATGTGGTTAGAAACTAACAGACAAATTTGAAGGTGCAACTGCATCCCTCACAGAGATTAATTAAGAAGATGTTTACATCATTCTTTATATAATTAATAAGATATATACTCGTTTACATTTGTAAGTACACAAAATCAAGATACATTAACAAAACAATCTTGATAGACAAACCTTTTGGGTTATTAAAAACAACAAAAAAAAAACCTGAAATAAAACAATCCAAAACCTTAATAAAATTACTTGATGGTTCAAAACTAAGCCAAAATTGTCAAGCCAACGATAGTAACTTGGAAAATAAAGTAGTGCAAGAAGAACTTGACGAAGAGATAGACTCTAACGCTTTCAACACGTTCTTGATGCAAGGCCTCTGTTGTGGATCAACGACCGTACAGTTTAAAGCTAAGTTCATGACATGGACGACCTCATGCTGATGCACGGATGTGTCGATGGATGAGTCGATCCACGTGTCGACTTGGCAATTAGAATATGAATATCTAGCCCAGTTGACCAAACTTCCGTTGACTCCAAATTCTAAGTCCTCATCACCGGGAGAACTTTTACCGGTGAGGAGATCGAGCATGAGGATTCCAAAACCATATATGTCACTCTTGGTACTTGTCGCCTCTTTGTGCTCCCTCGTTTCTACGTTATCAAAACGAAAAAGAAAATGAATATAGTAAGGTTAGACAGAAAACAAAAGTACATGTAAAAAAAACTAAAGAAATTTCTTTTAACTTCTTCACTCTTTTCCACACAGTATACTGTATATACCAACACGATAATGATAAAACGTGAAAAATAACAAGCTAAATTAACCAAAACGTGATTCATCTAATATATATAGTTTTAAATTTTTCTATTAACACTACCAAAAAATGATTATTCTCACAAATGTTTTCGTCACACAGTACTTCTGTTGTGACAAAAAAATGTTACTAATTGTAAAAAGTTTATTCAGTTTTGAGAGTTCTCATCCTATTGATATTTGCTATTTCATTATTCAGCTATTCCAATAGTAATTATGTTATTCAGCTGACAGACTAATCAGCCCAAAAGTTTATTTATGATTTTATCATTTATTGTTTTTGAAGAATTTTAGCTATTTCATGCATATTTTCATTACTGAATTTAGTAAGTCTTCGTTGAAAAGTAGATATTATAATCATACCTGGGGCCATGTAAACAGCATCCATGCAAAGTAGGCCCGGAAGACCGAGACAGAGCCTTGGCTCATCCTTGACGTCGACAACAATATTCTCTGGCGATAAATGACCGGCAACAACTGCCGGAAAGCACTGGCAATGCAGAAACCGAAGAGCTTCCGCGATTCCCATCATAACATTCCTCCGTTTCTCCCAACTCAAACCATTCAAAATTTGTCTCAGTCGTTTCCCTTCGACGTCCTCATATATCAAGTACGCCACTTGTTCCGACCGGCACGTGGCCACTACCTTAAGAATGTTCTTGTGCTCAGAAAGTTTCCTAATTTCCGATATCTTAGGAAGAGAATCATATTTCTTGACCTCCTTAACAACGAATCTCACGCCGTTTTTATCCTCAATAACGCTTTGTTCCTTGAGTGATGAGAGGATCATGTTCACCGTAATGGATCTCATGAATCTTAAATCGAAGAATTGAATTTCCCACTTTGTACCATCTTCTTGTTCCACTTTCTTCACCTCCAAAACGTTATGCGTCCTTTGAATGACAAGAGCGATAAAGAAACCGGAAACAAGGACGACCAAGAAAGCTACAATGGTTGAAGTAACGACAAACCACCAACACTTCGTACTTCTCTTTCTTTCAACCTCGCAAGGACGTAAACCGGTTGCGTTATTTACGCTGCATAGATCGGTATTACCTACGACTGCTGTTGCGTTGATGGCAAGAAAAGCTCCGGTTAAAGGTAAGCTTCCGTGGAGAAGATTATGAGAGATGTTGACTTGAACAAGAGACTCGATGTTCCCTATATTCTTCGGAATCTCGCCAGATAATCGGTTGCAAGACAAATCAAGATCGCTGAGAACTGGGAACTCCGAGAAACTCGAAGGGATCTCTCCGGTAAGGTTGTTGTGGCTCATGTCAAGATTCACTAGGTTCTTGCAAGAAGACAACTCACTTGGGATCACTCCCGTGATCTCATTCTCACTTAAATCCAAATCCATAAGTTCCGGGAACGTCATGAGCCCTAGTGGAACCATTCCAGAGATTATGTTCTTTGATATATCGAGCTTCTTTAGTCTCTTGCTTCTAGAGAGATCCGGTAAATCACCAGAGAAATTGTTCTTTCCGAGGTTTAACATCTCAAGCTGTGGCATGTCCCATGTTGTGCCAATGTTACCTCCGAGGTTGTTGTTTGATAAGTCCAAGAAGTTAACGAGTTGCAACTCAGTGAACCCTCGAGGTAACTTGCCTGAGAAGCCATTGCTTTGAAGCCTCACGCGCTCTAAGCTCTTGCACGCGCCCAAACTCGCTGGGATTACGCCGTCCAGAGAGTTAAAGAAGAGGATGAGCTTGGTGAGATGGCCAGAGTCACAGAGAGTATCAGGGAGTTTCCCGGTGAGATTGTTGGTAGAAAGATCAAGAACAGTGAGGTTGTTATGTTTCCCAAGATTCGCCGGAATTTCCCCGGAAAATCTGTTGGACCAGAGCTGAAGAACTTGGAGACGTGGCAAAGACGTTACTCCTTGAGGTATCTTTCCGGAAAAGTTATTGGAGAAGAGATGGAGAACTTGTAGACGTTGTAACTGAGCCACTAGCTCAGGGATCTCTCCTGAAAGCGAGTTATCGCTAAAGTCGAGAGAGTTGAGGTTTTTGAGAGAGAAGATGGACGGTGGGATCTGACCAGAGAGCTTGTTTTGGTAGAGAAACATGTACTCAAGCTCCTTCAAGTCTCCTAGTGAAGTAGGTATCGGTCCAGAGAGATTGTTGTAGACGAGATCAAGGTGGTTGAGAGATGATAAACCACCGATTTGGTAAGGTATTTCTCCAGAGAGATTGTTGTAACCAAAATATATCCATTTCAAGCTTTTCATCAGTCCTAGCTCCGCTGGTATACCTCCGGTTAACTGGTTGGAAGCCAATGTTAAGAACTCTAATCTCGAGAGGTTACCGAGATAGGTTGGTACAGGGCCGGTTAAGATGTTTCCACCGAGATCGAGGACTCTAAGGTTAGAGAAAAGTCCGATGTCGTTGTAGATTTCACCGGTTAAAATGTTGTTTGAAAGATCTAACGTGTAGAGATTTGGAAGAAAGCCTCGAGGGATAGAGCCAGAGAAGTTGTTGTTGCTTAGGTTGAGGTAACGAAGAAAAGGAAATGAAGTAGTGAAGATGTCGTGAGGGATAGGACCGGAAAAGTTGTTGTTGGAAAGATTTATGGTTCGTAGAAAGGGTAGTCGGAAAGTAGTGGAGGTGAGGAGTTGGCCGGAGATGTTTTTGCCGGAGAGATCGAGAGAAACAACACGAGATAAGTTGTTGCAAACGACACCGTTCCATAAGCACACATCATTGGTTGAAGAGTAAGACCAGGAAGAGAGGTGTCTGAGAGGGTCTTGAATTGAGGATTTGAATGATAAAAGAATCTCGAATTCATTTGCATGGAGGCAAGAGAAGTTAAGAAAGAAGAAGAAGATGATTGTGGTGATGAGATGTGGAGGATGATGGTGGTGATGATGAGAAGTAGACATGTTTGCTTTTGTTTCTTTGGCTTTGCTGTATTATTACATTAGGTTGTTAGATATGTATATATGCTCTTGTGATGAGAGTGTTGCTCTTAAGGATTGTGATTTGCTTTGGACCTTAGCTGTAAAATAGAAAGAAAGAAATTATTATATTAAAGGGATCAATGATGATCTTTGATTTGAACAGTCGTATTTGTTCTTTTTTACTCTATGGACTTTTTTTTTTGTTATATAAATCTAAGAGGGCGTCATATGAAAGGTAATGTGCATTATTCTTTGTACTAGATGAAAAAGGGGATAAAAAGTGCTAGGATGGTCTACGAAAAGGGGAATATATAGAAAGAAACAGAAAAGGTGTCGAGCACATTCGCACTTCAAATTCTTGCTACTTTTTAAATGATTCTTTTTATTCATTGAAAAAAAAAATTAAAGTGAAATTAAACATCTCAAAGTGAGATGATGAACTACAACAAAATAAGTTATGTTTTCTTTGTCCGCAAGACATAGTGGAAATATAAAGTACACAAAGAAAAAAAAATTGAATGCAATAAAAATTGAGTTATTTTTTGTATTTTTAGGAAAAAGGTTATATGGAGCTATTTACCTAATAAAAACATTATTAGTGTTTTTATTTTTGGTAATCTTTGAAAGTTTCGGACCTTTGATCTATAATCTCCTCAGGTCAATCATTGATAATACCATGTTTAAGGCATAATTTACCTCATCTAAGTGGAGTTGAACTAGTGACCTTGAACACTCCCAAGTACCACTATTATTAGTGTTACTTTCGTACTTGTTTGTTTTGGTTAAAGTTGTTATGTTATGCGCTATTAATCATCAAATTATCACATTTACTTTTTTCATTTTGTTTTCTCTTTTCCTGGTCACTTTTGAATCGGACGTTTGAACACGAACAGATGAGGATGGGATTGATGTCGTGAAAAAAGCCTCTGAGATTTTGTCGGCTTACTAGCAAAATGTTCTTTTGACTGAAGAAAATATAAACCACTTTTTCTTGGAGTTGTGACTAGACATTTCTCTGAACATTTTGGAAAGCTTTTTTCAACTCGTATACTCATAGTAACATAACATACTTATGCGTAGCTTAGTTGAACTATCCTCCATACAATATTTGATGACTTATCTCTTTTTTCTTTTTTTTAGAAAAAAGATACTTATTTCTGTGTGTTAATACGACATATATTCTTTGTAAAAAAGCAAAAAATATTGTTTGATGTGTCAAAATCAAAACCACGACTATTCTTAGAAATCACATTTGTTGGTAAGAAATCACGTTTGTTATTTCCGTATCGAACTCGTATAATAGTTTTCGATTGGAGTTCATCTACAGAGAGTAGGAGCCCACAAAACAGAGGAATAAGTTTTATAGAAGGAATATACAGAGAGTGGTCATTGTCGCGGAAGGGCATGCTTTGCTTAATTCCATTTTCTAGGGTTTTGCACTTCCCCCCACACGCCCACTTTTATCCCACTCCACGCTTGTTCTCTTCTTTTTTGTATTTTTCCTTGAGTTAATTAAAGAGTCCAACTTTCTTTTCCCTCCCTAAATAAATAAATCGATTAACTAAGAATATCCAATCCAATAAACGTACACATTCCATATCAAATTTATAGACAATCTGATATAGAGAAGAGAACAGATACTTAAACACATAATGACATAAGTTGGGACATATATACAAATACAAGAACCGATTTTCGAAAAGATCCAAAGAATATGAGATAAAACGGTATATTCAAAACGCATAGGAATTCGTCCGTGAAAGACGAAGTCTGATAAGATTTTTTTTTCCAAATTTATATAGAGAAGGCAAAAACAAAACAAAATCGAGCTAGTAATTCATTTAATAAATTTTATTTTTAAATATGCAACAACAACATGATATTGCTGCATGCCCGGTCAGCGATTCAGAGGTAGTTCCTGTATGGACCAAAGTTTCAGTTTATTGGTTTTCTTTATTTGAGTGTAGGTTTGCAGGCAAAATACGTTTAACGGTTTAAGACAAGGGGTTATATCATATTCTTGTTATCACTTCGCCACCATTGTACAAAACCATATGTTTCTTGCCTCTAGTATAAATATCGTTCTCGTCAAATACTAAATCGATGTTCTTTTTCAATGACTCGGTTTTAAACCCAGTATAATTATGAGTTCTAATATACTGTACGTCTAAAACCCAAAGTAAGAACCATCTGCAAACGATGAGGTCTTGATCTAACCATTCGAGCACCAATAAGCACAAGACACGAAGTTCTTCTTATTAAGATAAATGTAAGTTATTATATGAACTGATGAGGTACAAGTGACGTAGAAAGCCGACCCGTTTCCTTTGGAGGTGGTGTCTGTATCTTCTTTACACATTGATTGTGTTGTTAGTGGTCCAAAGAAGTCACTACTTATTACTTTATCGATTTAAACTAAATATTAAGAAGATAATTCTAAGTTTATGACATTGATTAGAGATAATAGAGGATCGACTTGATTTACCCCTCTTGTATGTTTGTGTTGCTTGTTTTTATTTTATTTTGTTGGCTATTCCAATAAAGCCTTTGCTTTTTTTTTTAACCGTAATGTTATATAATAATGTCGGCCTTATTTGGTCCACTAAGATATTGTCATCCTCTAAAGTATTTTCTTCTTTTTTTTTCTTAGGAAAATTTGGTTTAATAATCTAAAGAATTCATGTAATTTGAAAACTAACTTTTTATAAAGTAATAAATCAATAATACTAATTCTAAAACATTAATCTTTGCGGAGCAAAGGAAAAACCCAAAACATCAATTCTTTGAAGAACCGAGGGAGTGTGTTTGTGTACGGTAAGTTGGAGAAAAATGGACCAAATCTTTCTTTGCTTGTTGTTTCAAAATACCATATACATCATGTGTGGAGGAAAAAGAATACCAGGAGACACAAAAATAATTGAATTTTATTATATGATCTTAGATTCTTAATTACATGCCTCATTGATAATGCTACGGTAGCTACCCACAGCAGAGTAGTGTCACTTGCCTATCACGCTCAGCACAAGTACGAAAGACTCTTTCCACGAAGGTTTATAATCCATCGTATCTAAATTATTTTCAGAAAATAGCTATGTTTTTCATTCTTTAACTAATTTAGTTTTAGCCACGGAATTCGTTTGTAAATATACACATTTTTTTAGTTTAATAAATTTTAACATTTCAACCAAATAAGATTTTTTTTTCGGTTAGGTGCTTGGAATTCCTCTACTTGTCAATGAGCGCCTACGCATTTAAGAACACATTCAAATAACACAAGGAAATAATTAAAAGCCAGAACTCGACACGGATAAGGCAATGAAGCCACGTCTTGCGCTTGCTAAAACAAGAAAAAGGTAATCAGAATTTGACCGCATCAAACTCAAATCGCATGCAGGTTGGCCTCTCGGTAAATTTTAACCACTGCAATCCTTTAAATCAAACATCTTTTTCTTGGTAAAGGATTTGCAATAACATATCTATCTTGTACTGTTTAATTTTTATTAAAATATATGTTTTCCTTTATTTTGAAACATTACAACAGTCGTGCAATAAACTTAAACAGATCACATATTCTATTTTCTAAAACAAACACATGCAAATTCGCTTGTATTCGGAGTAATTATGACGCATTTTCCACCAAGAAAATGTGATTCAATGCATGTCTGATTGCAATTCGGAAACGTTATGCATGTACCTATCAAGATCGGCTTCCTGTTTTCCGCATTTGCAGATTCTGAAATTTTTATTGTTAAAAAAATAATTAGTGTAGTATTCATAAACATATATCTCTTTCCGTCAGTTAGAATGACACATTACGAACGTATATTATATAGTGTGTTAAACTGTAGGTATGAATGGAGATATAATTCAAAATCAAATAGAAAAAGCAAATGTAAAGTTTATTGTGCATACTCGGGATCAAAAGGGCAGCCAGACATAAGAACACCAGAAAAACAAATTTTCTTGTTGAAGCCATTTTGACCCTTTGGTTTTAAAGTCTTTTGTGTTTGTTCCTTTTTTTTTTGTTGAAGTTAAATAGTTCAAAACCTTTGACAATATATGTATATAAATATAGAATGTTTGAACTAATTTTTAGTACGATGATATTTATTTTTGACTAAGACTATTAGCTTTGAGTACTTGTTATGTGACACCTTGGATTTTTATTTAAAAAATTGACTTCATTTTTTATTTTTAAGGTAACTATTATATGAAAATACCAAAACTGAATCTAATTTTTTCTTAGATAAATATATGAGCAACTATGATGGTCATATGACTCTGTTTGGGTTTGATTTCGGCTCCTCCTGACGGTTGAATTTATTCTTCGATAAAAAATAATAATAATTACTTAGCAACCAACATAATTTGTTCTTGTAATGATATCTTTATAAAATAATAAATTTTCAAAGTCGCAACATTATTACTTTATATATATTTTACTTTATCTATAAAATTATAAACCTTTGACCAAATTGGTTGTTTAAATTATGAAATCTTTGACTAAACTGACAATCTAAATTCATGTTTATGGAAAACAATTTACAGTATGAAATTACTTTTATAATATGAAATATCTATCAGAACTATATATAACACCCATACACAAAACCAACACACTAAGTTATTTGTACCTACCTGGAAAGACAAAAGGTAATTATGTTAAATTTCTTATAAATTTTTGAATACTGTTTTATTGAGAAGACAATATATGTTCCTCTTATATTAAAAGTTATTTAGTACTAATTTTTCATTTTGATTTTTTTCAATTTTAGTTCTTTATCTTTCACAGAATTAAACAATTGTGCAGAGGAAAAAAAATTGCTTGTTGCATCTTCTAAAATTCTAAGTAATGGCAGCCAACAAATTTTCATCTCTTTTATTAATTTCATTGATGGTATTTGCTTTCATCCTTCTACCAATAACATCAGGTAAATATTTGAATTTTAATTGTTTAATTGTATAAAACACATAAAAATAACTATTATCATTTTCTTACTTAAAATCTTGTCATCCCAATTAGCCCGTGTATGTCCCGAAAAGAGACCGCCTTGTCCAGTCTCTGGTAATTGTAAAGCCAACTGCAGATTTGCTGGGTACAAGAGGTTGTGTATTTAAGTTTCCTTTTATAAATTGTTGTTGTATTGACAAAGTGAAATCTGAAGACGGGACTCCCTATTCTAGTCCAATCCTAACTAATTAATAATTTCTTATATTATATGTGTTCTCCCTTATATGAATACAACAAAATATTGATATATCTTGGTTCAAACATTATATAGATGTATATCATACTTCAAATAAATCAGTCGTTATTTCCCAATGTCCGACAGAAAACCCCATATAAATCATATATTATCTACAATTTGATTTCTTTCTTTCTGTTTTTTTATATAGATGTATATCATACTTCAAATTACTTAAAATAGCAACCAACACATGGTGAGTAATTTGTCCACTGAAGAACAATCATTATCAGCAAAGTTTAAAATAACAAAATATCGCATGCGTCAATGAAATGGAAACGAAATGGATCAGAGCAAATGTGATCACTCATCACTCTCTTGATCTTGTCAATGCGTCTTCCATGTTCTTGGCGATTATTCCAAGTGCTTTCTCATACTTCTTCACCAGATCATCTAAAGACCATCCTCCAACGGGATTAACGGTGAAACTCCACTCAATCACACAACCTTCATCTTCGCCTCGTGGCAATATCCTCACTGTTGAGACGTAAGACTCGAATCCAATGTTACTCTCCACTATCTCGTAACTCATCACTCGCTCCACGGGATCAACGGCCACCAGCTTCTCCTTGGACCATCCCGCGGCGGAATCTACACCGTTGGATCTTATGGAGGAGCCGGAACAAAATCTGATACAGCCAGGTTCACCGTTGGTGCCGTGGACGCCGTGACAAGTGGCGAGCGTTGGAAGCCACTTGTTGAAGTTGAAGAAATCGGTGAAGAGAAGCCAGATTTGGTTAGGGTTTGTTTTTGTGAGTGTAACTGACACTTTGGCTTGCCACTTTTCTTGGTCTGAAGCTTTTTCCATGTCGAAAGAGAGAGGATCTGTAACAAAAAAAAAAAAAAAAACGAGAGTGGATCTAAACACAATGTAAAGATTAAACCAAAATATTGGTAAAATACTAATCGCATAAAGTGTACTAACGAACAATTGAGGTAATTACCTCGAAGGTTTAGATTCTTCTCGAGAGAAAAAGATTGGGAGTCCCAGCCGTTGAGGTCAATGGCAATACAATGAGAAGATTCTGCTCTTGAATCTTGATATCAATGCCTTTTGGCAACTACTATTATTCTTCTTCGTGGGAATATAAAAAAGTATAAAGTGATATTTTCTTAATCGCTAAAAGTAAAGTGATTAAACTCAAAAAAAAAAAAAAAAAAGAAAAAAAGTGATTAAACTCGCGTCCACGACAATATTATACTCCATGAAGTATACGTATTCAATACTTAGTGGACTGAAAATAATTTGTTATGTTTTTGTTTTAACTTTTAATGTTAAGATTAAAAGAAACAATAATACCTCTCTGCATACCTTGTTAACAAAGATTACGTAAACTTGATAACAACTAACGTTAATTCGCTAACAAGTAACCCAACACTGTGCTACCAATATCACGATAATTTTGCTAACAATTAGTACTTAATTTCCCCCACAAATATTAAATCCCTTGCTAATAAATTTTTAGTTACTTTGCTAACAAAAAACACCTATTCCCGTTAACAAATATTATATTATCTTGTTGATAAAGACTATGTTACTTTGTTAACAAAGATCATGACACATTGTTTGCATTTGGTTGTTAATGAATTTGTTAGCAAGTAATTGTTTAAATTTTAGCATGTACTATATCCGTTTCAAATTAGTTGTCATTCTGGCAAAATGTATCTGCATTTTTCTGGATGTATTTTGAGTTTAATACGTCTAAAAAATGCAGATACATTTTGCCAGAATAACAACTAATTTAAAATAGATAGACTAATGGTTTGAATGTTAATATGTAATGATTTGAATGTTAACATTATTTCACTAGTTTGGTTAATAGCTAATATTAGTAAATATACTTAATAGTTTGAATGTTATACCATTTGTTAACATTTTTTAACACGTAATGATTTAAATATTATAGTACTCTATAAAATAATATCTTCTCCTCTCAGAAATCATACTTAAATAATTAGGAGAGTGAGAAATCTTACAATTTTAATGTTTTGTCCTCTGAACACAACTGACGTCATTCGCTTATGCCATTTGCTGATAGGGGCAAATCAGGAAAGAATCTCTAGTTGTATACTTGTATTCTATATGGAAGTTTTTTTTTGGTCAAAGAACTAATTTACAATCAATACACATGCTATTCTTAATTTTTCAAGTATATGAGGTATTGACTAAATTCACCCAATTATTAAATGTTTGACCAAAATGAGTATCTAAATTGTCATATATTTGACCAATTTGACAGTCTAAATTTATGTTTACGGAAAACTCATTACATGATGTAAATTACTTGCATAATCTGAAATATCTATCAGAACTATATAAAACACAAAGACACACACAAAATCACTACTAAGTTTTTTGCCCCTAGCTCAATACTATAAAGAGAAGAGGTAGATTTTTAAATCTCGTATAAAAATATTGAAACTTTTTTTTACTGAAAAGCATCATACATATGTCCCTTTTCAACTAAAAGTTGTTAAAATCTAACTTTATCATTTTAGATTTATTTTTTTAACAGATTAAAAGGATTTCAAGGGAAAAAAAAATATTTGTTGGGTCTTCTAAAAACATATATAATGGCAACAAACAAATTATCGCTTTTCTTAATCTCACTGATGGTATTTGCTTTCACCCATTCACTAATGACATCAGGTAAATATTTAACTTTTATGTTTCATTAATATTGTCTCCAAAACAAAAATTACATGTAAAGAATAATTAATTTATCATTTTGTTACTGGAATTTTTGTTATCCCAATAGGTTTCATTCGTATATGTCCTGAAAAGAGACCACCATGTCGGCCATCACCTAAATGTATAGTAAACTGCAAATCTTTGGGATACAAAACAGGAGGTTGTGAAAATAAGACTTTGGGCATATATTGTTGTTGTACAAACAAATTGGCATCTCAATATGATTCTCTATTCTAGTCCAATTCCAATGAATTAATTTCTCATTTTGAATGTATTCTCAATTATATGAATGAAAACTGTATTGATACATGAGTGGTCTTTTAGCTTATATATCAAACACTAAATATATATATATTTATATATATATGTAAATTATTCTTGAAAACCCTAATTCTATATAAATCATGGATTACCTAATTTCTCGCCGTTGTTATTTTAATTTATACATTAAAAAATAAATTATTATCATTTGTATTCTCATATTTTTTTTGTTCTAAACTTTTAACTTTGATCATGTATCAATTTTTTTTTTGATAATTCATGTATCAAATTTTATATAAATATTTAAATAAAATAATAATATATATTTTATTATGATATCCAAAATCTTAATCATAATTTAAATTTTATGCATATCATATTAACAAATAAATTTTTCTAAATATTTAATACATTATCATATGGAAAATAATTTTCAAAAATTAAGAATTAAAAATATATATTTCTATAATCGATATAATAATATCTCTATAAAATAATAAACATTCAATATCACAATTAGTTACTTTATAGAGGTTTTACTGTATATCCAAAATTATGGAATGTTTGACCAAATTGGCTGTTTAAATTTATGTTTATGTAAAACTCATTATAATATGTAAATTACTTTCACAATATGAAATATCTATCAGAACTATATATAACACTCATACACAAAACCAACACATTAAGTTATTTGTACATACAACAATACTGGAAAGACAAAAGGTAAATATGCTAAATTTCTTATAAAATTTTGAATACAGTTTTATTGAGAAGATAACATATTGTCCTCTTCTACTACACGTTATTTTGTTTTAACTTTTCATTTAGATTTAACATTTTAATTCTTTTCACATAATTAAACAATTGGGCAGGAACAAAAATTACTTGTTGCATTGTGTGCGTAATGGCAGCCAACAAAATTTCATCTCTTTTGTTAATTTCATTGATGGTATTTGCTCTCATCCTTCTACCAATAACATCAGGTTAATATTTGAATTTTAAATGGTTAATTGTCTCAAACACATAAAAAATAATTATTATCATTTTCTTATTTAAAATCTTGTCATCCCAATTAGAAAAAACTCGTGTATGTCCTGAAAAGAGTTCAGTCTCTAGTGATTGTAAAGCCAACTGCAAATCTGCGGGGTTCCTTTTATAAACTGTTGTTGTATTGACAAATTGAAATCTGAAGACGGTTCTTCTTATTCTAGTCCAACCCTAACTAATTAATCTCTTATATTATATGTATTCTCATATGAATAAAACAAAATATTGATATATCAATGATCTTTAGCTTTTGGATCAAACATTATATAGATATGTAACTCATTCTTCAAATTAATCACCCGTTATTTTCTCAATATCGGACAGAAAATTTTATATAATTCATGGATTATCTACAATATAATTTATTGCTCTTTTGTTATTTATTTGGGTTCAAGCTCTTAAATTCATTAAACTAACTTGGACGCTAGAGTAACGAAAGACAATTAAGCATCCTATTTGATCTCTACAATACCACATAAGAAAGCTAGAAATTAAATAGAATAAGAAACAAAGCTCATATGCATCAGAAGAAAAGTCACATTAGAGCTGGATTGATGTAAACTAGTTACATTTGACAGTGACGTTGGAAAAACAACTTCCACCTCCAAAAAATGACAAAGCGAATCTGATTGCATCTTTAAGCCCCGCACAGATTGTATATTTAAGCCCCGCACAGACTGGTAAATAAGATGACAAATCTGTAATAATATTGTAAAGCTTAGTAGTTATTGAATTTCAAAAAAAAAACCGTCTTTTAAAGAGAAGAAAATGCATCAAAAAGTTATTTCCCAATGAAAAAGGAGAAAGATGGAACAAACTTATCCGTGCCAAAAGAAATGATGCAAAATTATGTATGAACTGATAAATAGATAGACATCAAAGTTCCTCTATAGAGGAGGAAAAGAAATAACATTTATGATTTTATGGTATCAAAAGGAACGATTGGATCTGAGTTATGCTCAGCCCTAAACTCCTCTTACAATAAACTTGTTTAAATTCCTAGTTACCTACATACAACTCACACGGATTTGGTTAGTCTCACTCTTCACGTATTGGAGATTTGATTAGAGTAAATGGTAAAAAGGACAAAAAAATAAAAAAACTATAAATTCAAGGGCGTGAAGAGAAGAAAAAAACCCCCATAAAATTGAAGAGAAATTAACAACAATCCTTTAGCTAAAGAAAGTACGAGAAGCTAAAAAGATCAGCATCCTTCGATTCGTTCGCCAAAATCTTAAAAGAAAAATCGCCAAAATCCACCCATTGCATCTCTCAAATTCTTCACCTTCTTGATCGGTTCTGTCTCTTCGGTATCTCCACTTCCATCTTGCTCGTAGAATGGTTCTGAAAGCTTTTATCTTTTCTCAGTGAGTTCGATTGTTCAATGGACGTCGACAATCAAACGTACGATGCCTGAGCTGCGTAGCCAAGCACGCAGTGATCGGGATAAGAAAAACCCGAAAGAAAAGTCGATTCCTTTGAGGAGAAACCCGAGGCGGCAGAAGAGAGTTGCGGCGGAGGATCGGAGTGAGAAGAAGGAGGCGATCGTAGCAGCAGAGAAGTGCGCAAGTGAAAAGACCAAACCTTTTGTGACTACCGAAGAAAGAAAAGAAGAAGAGATTAGGGCTTTGAGCGGAGATAAGAAGAAAATGGATGAATTCGACAGTGGCGGTCAAGCACCTTTGCCTGATGATGAAGGAAACACTCCTCCACTTCCTGAAAAGGTCTAAACTTTATTGTTCCTTCTGCTAAATTCTGAAATGCCCGCATCAGTTTGGCTATTAAAGGTCCCATTTTGGGGCTAT